TTTGCTCTTTCCCTGGCCGAGCAACTGCTCGGGGAATCTGCTGCCAAGAGAGTGGGAGAATATCTGGTCTCTCTCCTGTTTTCATTACTGTTGTTCTTTCTTTCAGACATTGTTGAACAATCTTTTTACGATCTTGTTTGCCGATCCTTTTCCAGCTCCTGTCCCATGCTCATGAGAATCCCAAGAAGGAAGAATTCTGTAGCACTGACTGGTCTCTCAACCACATTCCTCGTGTAAGTTGCAGAAAACCACGATTTTTCTGATCGTTTGTCCTTGACATGAGATGAGAAAACGGTTTTTTTATCTGGTGAAAATGAAAATAGGTTCTTGTTCCTGTAGCCAATGGATCCGAAGAAATTGAAGTGGTCACGATTGCAGATATTTTACGGAGAGCAAAGATAGATGTCACGGTTGCTTCAGTCGAAAGATCTCATCGAATCACCGCATCCCAAGGCACTAAAATTATCGCAGACAAACTGATCGATGATGCGGCTGAACTGTCATACGATCTGATCATTCTTCCGGTAAAGTCTCAAGAAAAAAAAGCTAATCTCCTGACTTACACGCCTTTTTAAACTCGCTGATCTTTGCTAAACTACAATCAATGATATAGAGGCTACGAAAGCTTTATCGGTATATCAATGTACATTGCCATTCCACCCGGAAAGAGATTTCATTTTACTGCATCAGACTACAAATTAGATGAATGTAGCTATGGTGGGTAATTCCATTCAATGTGTGTTGAGTTCTATTCTTTGATGAAATATAGGGTGGACATGTTGGGGCAGAACACCTGCAGAAATCCAAGATTCTGAAGAAACTTCTCAAGGAACAGCAGAAAAGCGGTAGAATATATGGAGCGGTCAATTCTTCATCCACCGTTTTGCATAAACACGGTTTACTGAAGGTAATTTTCTTATTTAGAAAACAAGATCGATTCCTTCGAAGTTCTGACAATGGGCAAAAGCTATAAACTTTCTTGCTGCAAAATGCAGGAGAAGAGAACAGCTTCATACCCTTCTGACGCAGACGGGCATACAAATCAAATCATAGAAGGGGCTGAAGTTGTAATAGACGGTAAGGTGATTACGAGTCCGGGACTTTCCACGGTTGCAAATTTCGCCCTGGCTATTGTAAGCAAGCTGTTTGGGCACGGGAGAGCGAGAAGTGTTGCAGAAGGGCTTGTTCACGAGTACCCAAGGCAATGGGCAACATCTCAGACCAAATGAAGAGACATTCTCGAGGATGACTTGATCCATGTCGGAGATCAGACATCTCGGGTTTCGAGACTTGTCTCGGTCACGGTATAACAGATACCCGGTAACGCAGACCCAGCCCTGCATTTGAAAGATTTAGGGACGAATTCGATCTCCAAGCAAGTTATTATAGCTAAGTTCCAACAGATTACAGAGTAGACAACCAACACATATGTCAGATGGATTTGTCACAGTTGCTTTGCTTCACTCCCAATGTTTTGTACTGTGAAATCACAACCCCATGATTTGGGCTTTTGTCATAACTCCTAAATCAAAAGAGAGTTGGCTGTCTGAATGGTCCATGTCTAGATGGAATCTGAGCTTTATTACAACATTCATCCAAATCTATTGTAACATAACCAGTGGTAAATCCAATCAAGCAACAAAAAAAAAAGAGTGCAAATACATCAGGAAGATAAAACCTAAGGGTTTTCAGGAAGACAACTACATCAAACTGAATTCAGTTCATAATTTACAACCCCACAGAAACACCTTATCTAAGTAGTAAATACACATCTAGTTTCTAATTCCTGCATGCCATAGTTCTGCGGTTATCTTGAGTTCCTCTGCAACTGGATTAGCTCTACCATGGACCCGTCAATGTTCTTCGCAAGCATTGCCTTTTGCATCCCCATGGCTGGTGCAGCGATTCCAGGAGCTTCAACAACAAATGGCAGCAAAACATGGATTAGCATTCATCACTCCTTTAACTGGTCTCCTTACGAGGAGACTGGAAATTGAGGTACTATCTGATGAGTTTCATTCTGCTCAAATTGCCATTTGAAGTATAATTCATTATTGTGTGGCACAAGCTAGACTGCCTTGAGCTAAAACAGAGAAACTATAATGGAGATTACCTGATTTTTCTGCATTTCCATGATTTCAGCCTGCATGAAATTGTTTGGTTAGGACAATCAAAACCCAAAAGAAGACTAAAAACAGAAGAGAGAGGTCTATAGATTCCGAGACGTAGAAAGGAAAAAAAATGGGTATACTTGTTTTTTCTGCAATTCATTGTTCAATTCTTTTAGCTTTGCAACTTCAGCTTCCAACTCCAATGTATATGCCTGCCCAACCAGAAAAAAAAATGAGAAAGTTGATGAGCATTGCAAAAATTTGTTACAGTAATAAACATGAAATTACCTGTTTTCGGGCACGTGATCTGGCAGCTGATTCCCTGTTCTTGATCATCCTCTTTTGCCTTCTTTCAATCACTTTCTCAACAGCTGCACCTGATCTTCTCCCTCGGCCAAACATGTAAGGAACAGGTGACAAAAATGCATCCATATTGCTCTTAGGAGTCAGATCAGGAGACATCTGGCTTCTGGGAGATGCTGCTGCAACTGCAACACTTGTTTTAAATTCGATAGCTTGTAGTGAATTGCTGCTCACAGGACAGTTCTGCATTCCAACAGTCGAGCTCCTCACTTCCTGACAATACAAAAAAGCAAGCATGTCTCTCATCATCGTTTCCTCAAACCTGTTCCTTCTCAAGCATAAGCAATGATCTTAATAAGTTATAAATCCAAAACCTGCTTAATCCTACAAAGGAAATTACATCTGATTTTGCTTCACAGAATGGTATGCATCAAACATTTCCAGGTAAGTTATCAGGTAACCACATACACTTCAGTTTTCCAAGCTCTCTGTTACCTGTATTGCAGGTTTGGAACTGTCCACCATATCCACGGTGTTGTTAAACGCAATAGTGGCTTGCTTGGGGAAGGTGGTCTGCTGTTGTTGTATCAGTTGCTGCGGCTGTGACCGAGGTGGCAGCCCACCCATCTGGATTCCAGCGGCATTGCCCGAGAAATCGGGGTGTTGGCTAGTAACAAAACTGTTCTGAGGTAATCCAAAATTCGTGTTACCACCGAAGCCATAGAACCCGCCATTGATATTGCTAGGCCTCTCCAACGATTGAGGCTCTTCCCTAACTACACCGGCCCTGACCAAGAACTCCTCCAATGTCATCTCTCCCAACGTTTGCTGTCTCTGTGGAACATTTGATCCGCCATTACTACCACCACTGCCACCATCATTGTCACTGTCCCTCATCAACTCCTTCCAAACTTCATCAACCGTCTTCTGACTAAGCGTACGAGGTAAAGTTAATGACCCTTGCCTCTGCAAATTCCCACCAGCAAAGCCAACACACCCATCTCCTCCCACAGCTACACCTAAGCTGTTACTATTACCAGTGTTAATGCTATTACCATTGTTAATGTTGTTGTTGTTGCTGCTGTTGTCATTCCTCATGGCCTGGTTTTCCTCAGCGTTCCATATGTTCTTCAAGAGCTCATCCATGTTCATGGACCCGAAGTCCTTCCCTAACCCTCCCCATGTGTTCTGAAACTCGTCGAATGTCAACGAGAACACCGAGTTCTGCCTTGCCAATGGAAGATTCCCTGTCACCGTCTGCCTCTGGTTCATGTCTCCATCAGCGAAGCTCTTGAAGTTCACTCCAGATCCCATTTTCAGTATGAACTTATCTCATACACGACTGAACCTCTCCAGATTCTTTTCAAGCTTTCCTTTGCCTTCAGCTGGACGCCTACAAGAAAAACACACACACATACACACACAAGAAATCAAGCTTTGTTACACGTGAAATATCTGAATCCATTAGTAAAAAATATTCACACGCTCATATGAAACAAAATGAAGATGCAGAAACTCAGTATGAAAAAGTCGTGATCAGAGCCAACAAAACAGAAGAATGTGATCTCAAGATTTTGAACACAGACAGGAACTACTCTTGTCTGAAAAAGTCGTGAACAACAATGGGTTAATCACAAACCCGGTTACACATATCAATAATATACGAGAGCAAGTAACTAAGTATATCATTTCACTAAATCTCCAACAGACTGGGATGAACAAGCTAACTACGTACAAAGCAGACTGACGACTGTAATAATCTCCGAAGTAAACATTAGATTTAGGCAAATCGAATTCAAGCTTGCATCTCCGATACCCATACAATCTAGAAACTAGAAAATCTAAGCAAAACATCCAAATGAAGTACAAGAAGCAGAAAGAACCATTGCAATGGTAATGGAAAAAGGCGATTTTCCGGCAAACCAATCGAAGCTCGGACACTGTTTTCGACGAGAAAGTTCATGATCGCTATCGAATCCAGAGAATCTAAACAAAAACTCCAACCAGAAATTGAGTGTACAATCGATTTATCGATCAAAAAAAGAAAAATTAAGCAGCTCAGTTACGCATAAACTAACAAGGAAAAAAAAAAGAAGGGGAAAAAAACAAAATTTCTCCTTACCTTTCGTAAATTTTATTTATTTTCGCAAGGAAAAAAAAACTTTGCAGAGAGAGAGAGAGAGAGAGAGAGAGAGAGAGAGAGAGAGAGAGAGGTGGACAAGTGTCCGGGTGGTACTTGTCGTCATGATATAAGGTGAGTATAGGCTGTTTGGATGCAGTGATTATTTTATTCGCGATAAGGTTACAACTCAATGCAGCTGACGTCAGATGGTGCGTGAGCCACAGATATTGCGCAACGTGAACCAATAGGAAACGAGGAATTTCTTAAAAACCGTATGATGGAGACTTTCTTTCAGCGAATAGGATCTCGAAACGTGACAAAATCACAACCGTTGATTTCTCAAGGAGAATCTTTCGGAATCCTCGTAAAATGCCCATGTCCAATTAACTACAGGTTCACATAAGAATTTTTATTTTCTCTTATATTTATGTGCAATTTTAAAAATAAGTTATCGAATATTTAAGCTATGTAATTGTTTACTTGAATATATGGATCAAATGGTTTTTTCTTTAGAAATATTATTCTACTGCTGCTAAATCTTTATCCGGCCTAAGAGAGTTTTAGAAGTTTCAAATGGGACAATATAATATTTATGTGTTTTAAAATATATTAAATTATGGAAATGACAATTAAAAAAATGATTATGTCGAAGATGCGTGCATGAGTGTTTTTTCCACTATATATAAAAAAAAAAGGAAGTATTCTTTCGAAGGAAAAATCATTGTGGTCAAAATCAAGATATAAATCAATCTTTTCATGAAAAGTTTAAAACTTAGTTTTGAGGTCGATCATTGTAAATGATTATATAAAATTTAAATACTATGTGTATATCTCTAGATTTTTGAATATTATACTAATGAAACATTCGTATTATTTCTAATATTATTTACAACTGAATTTGTGATAGCTATTGAACTTTTTTGGACCAAAACTTACAAAAAAAAAACAAAAACAAAGTTGAGAAAAGTTTAAAAAAAAAAAGTTTAAAACAAACTACAAAGGGGGCAAAATGCGAATCTTTGTATGAAGTGGCTGCACCTGCAAGGGAAGGACATCTGCCACGTGGCGCACTTCACCCCCCACAACTCTAACATAATATTCTTTTTTTAACATTGAAATGAAAATTGGACCGCGATCAACAAGTACTTATATCTTACAAATTAAATCGGATACATACTCTAATAATTTATAATTATTTTCGAATGTGAGATTTGGCAGAAGCTATTGGGTGATTTAATAACATGTTCGAACTCCGCCCACCACGTCTGTACGGATCTTCTTGATGGAATAAATATCCATTGTTTTTTTCGTTAATCGGATATTTTGAATCGATAGACAGATTAATTTCAAGGCGGGAGCGAATCATGTTCAATCTTCTTTTCCAATTTGAAATTTAAATTCGAGACGAAACAAACGTTATTAATCGATAGCGAAACCAAACACATCCATCCCCAAGTGCAAACCAGCTCTCCAACTCAGCAGCGACCCGAGTCCACTCGGGTTCCGGGTCGGTGGTCAACTCACCCCTGACGTGGAAAAGGTTGCAACTTTGGCAACTGACCATATGTATGAATTAATTGATGTGTATTCACGAATCATTCTCCCGCAATCCTGTCTTGCTGACGTGGACAACCTGTAAAGTTATCATCACTTTACCAGAAACAAACCCACAAGACGAAGAACACGGCAAATATGAATATATATGTATATTTACATATTCGTTACAAGTTGGAAAAAAAATGGTTACGGGCATTCAGATGTCTTGATTGTTGTGTTACCTGTCGTAAAGATGGACACGCACATAATGACTCGAACTCGTATTTATAATGTTCGAACCGCTTTACAGTCCAAATGATTTGAATTTTTTTAGGGGACGTTAATTATTGAGAAAATAAAAAAAAAGACGGAATAATTATTGACATATGAACAAAAAATGATAATAAAAGAATAATATATACAAGTAAAATGGAAAAAAAAAAACGAGGGGCGCAATGCTCTGATGTATGTATGTATATATATACTTTTGATAGAATGATTTGATATTATGTATAGAATAATATATTAGAAATAGAACTCAAAATGAGACATTAACAAAAATAGCCTCTCTTTATTATTTGATTTCAAGACATACTTTTTTCTAAATATGATTTTGTGACCACTGTGAACAGAATTGTAATCTGACCACGTATTAATCGTATTTGTCATAATGTTAAATTTATGGTGATCATACTAATTTATTATGTTTATCTCTTGTATATCTTATTAACTATTTGATAAAAATATTATAAATTTAATGTTATAATTATTATAACCAATATGTGATAAGTCTGTAATTTTTGTCATATGATCACAAATGAAAAATGTATATGAGTTGAAGTGGAAAATAAGAATATTTTTTATATAACACCACTCAAAATTTATTTTCATATCGTTTTTTATAATCTGATTATAATAAAGAACAATGATTATTGTAAGGAGCATAATTACGAAAACCATTCAATAATTTAAGAAAACTATGGGTAAAAATATTTTGAGATAGAATCCAATGTTATTTTCCATTTAATATTAAATTTTGCAATTAATGCTTATTGGAATATTCTGACTAGTGATTATCTTACAAATACAAATTTAGGAGTGTTGAGTCCAAATAGGTTAAAAATTTTAAATCTTTGCAATGGATGCACATTAAAAAAAAATTGAAACTTTATAACATCTAGAGATAGATTTGGTTGTTTAAGTCAAAATCCGTAAAGGATATATATATAGAAGGAACAATAAGGTCATACATTGTAAACGTAATATAAACTCGGGGACTTTTTGGACATTTACTTAAATTTATATATACATATATATATGTGTGTATATATAAGAAAGTGGCTCGCACGCGTTATGCGTATACACAAATAAATCACCCGAAAGAAACGGGGGAAAAAACCTAGCCGCCTTCAAATGTCGAACCGAATCGCTCCGCCGTCACAGCCGCCGCCGCGGCCTCTGTTCAAGCAGCACTCGTGGTCTCCGGACGCCGACCGTGACGAGGCCTGGATACGCAAGAAGAAACGCCCGGGGTTGTCGTCGTCCTTCTCTGGCGTCGGCGGAGGACTCGACCGTAGCAAGAGCGTGACCGACGAAGATCTGGAGGAGCTCAAGGGATGTATCGAGCTAGGGTTCGGATTCGAACCTGATTCGCCCGATTTGGACCCGAGGCTCTCCAGCACTCTTCCTGCTTTAGGGTTTTACTGCGCCGTCAACAGACAATACAGCAGCAGATTGTCGCGGACGTCGTCTCAGTCGTCGATCGCGTCGGAAGGTGATGTCAACAACTCCAGTTCCACGATCTTCGATCAAGGTGCGTGAGATCGATTTTTCGGTTTTTGAATTTTCTGGGGTTGTACGGGTGATTTTTTGATCTGACAGCGGAGATTGATTGATTGTAGGTGAAGATCCGGAAATGGTGAAGCTGAGGCTGAAGCAATGGGCTCAGGTGGTTGCTTGTTCGTTGCGGCAATTATCCGGTGAACCCAATTAGTTGAATTGAAAAAATTGATTTTTTGTACAGAATAATGAAAATTTTGTAATGATTTATAGAACCAGATATACAGTAAGTTACTTTTCAACAATATATATATATATATATATATGTTTTTGTGTGTGTGAATGATTGATTGATTCATGTATTCTTCGTGCGAGATATTTGGTCTCTGACTTCTGATAATATTTGAAATCAACCTTATTTTACTACCCAAAAGTGAAAAAAAAAGTGTTATTTATGATCAAACCATATTTCTTAATAAAAATAAAAAATTTCTGGATTTTAAAAATATCATTGTAAATTTTTTCGACAAGTTTGATTGTTTTCTAGAACTTGTGATATTGTTAAACTATTATTGTAATTCATAGAATAAGTCATTTGATTATTCGTATCTATTTTTGTTTTTGTCTTCCCGTACGTCTTATCGCTTTAATATACTATAAACGTATGGAAGTTCGAAAACTTAAATTATTCGTATCTTTACGTATACATACATAGATACAGATATATACACGTATATCTCGATCTAGTGGTTTAAGTAACAATTTTCCCACCAATTTTTAGGCAAAAAAATCTGTTGGATCATTCCATTAATTTTATAGTAGCTACCTTATTTTTTAAATAAAAACAATAATTGTAACAGGAGGAAAAGGCAAAAATAATCACTCTCATACACATATCATCATATGGTTTGAAATGTTCAATGCATGCATCTTATGGTATGGTACCTTCACAACTCATACAACTCACCCATCATCATACAAATATATATATATATATATATATATATATAAAAGTTGGGGGATATTCATATGCATGTGGATCGTTATCAATCAGAGATACTTCCATTAATTTTTGGGGGGTTAGAGCGTAACGCGGCAGATATCTCGGTGTCCCACGGTCCACATCCCCTACCTTTCCATGTTATTGTTTTTTTTTTTTTGGTTTAATGTGATTGTGTATATATCAAAAGTTCAGAAATGGTTACAACCAGGTACTTAACCTGTCAACTGAAATGAAAAATTATAAGGAATTTCCATTGCAAATGGTCAAAAGTACAAAGACATTCAAAAACAAAATATCAGTCCTAACTCGTTGGTTGCCGCATAAGATAGTACCAATTCTTCAGAAGTGAGCATGATATTCTCATTCTTTCCAACCGCAAAGACAACAAGATGTTCCGTATGACCTTATCAAGCTTCCATCGTACCTTTTCCAATGAGTTAGACTCATTCTTGAAGGTGTGATTGTTACGTTCCCACCAAATCATGTAAGTCACCGTCTGCAAGAGGAGTTTCACAATAACCAGCATGTCCCTTGTGGTATCGTTGGCATCCGACATGATCCATGCCACGCAATCCGCCATCCCTGTCGACGGGTCTCTCCAGCATCGTCCTGCAAAATCGTTCCAGAGCGATGTGCTGTAACGACAACGCAGAAATAAGTGATCATGCGTTTCATCAACCCCTCCGCATAAGCAACACTTTGGATCCATGCCCATTCCCCAACGTATGAGGCGGTCCCTGGTCGGTAGCTTGTGCTGAATAGCCTGCCACAATAGAAAGGAATAGCGTGGCACAGCACCACGAAACCAGATTACTGAGTGCCAGTGTACCCGGGGTCGTGGTGTACGCAGCTGCCGCCATGTTTTTGTCGTCGAGAAAGTTAGTTTGTAGTCGTTGTTGCCATGCTTCCACAAGAGTCTATATGTGCCACTCTCGTCCCCCGGTAACTCCAACCCCGCTAGTAACAATTGGACTTGCTGGATAGCATCTGACCGAGCTCCCGCAGCACGCCACGAGGAATTAACAACTACCTCTCGAACAGTGGCTAGTCGCGGAATGCGCATCAGGCGTGGACCCAGCTCCCCAACATATTTGATAAGTGTCCCCAGGTCTGACCAGTCATCAAGCCAAAAGAGTGTCGATTTCCCATCATTCACCTGCATCTTGATGAATCTCCGAGCCACCTCTCGCATGCCCAGTAACTTTCGAAAATTCCATGATGTGCGCGAGCTAGGCTTTAAGTCCCAGAAGCTCCTAGTCTTGAGAACGTTCGCATGAAGCCAAGCAACCCAAAGCGAGCCCGATTTACGAAGGAGAATCCAGATCTGCTTCAGTTTGAAGGTGTTGTTATAGTCAGCCAGTTTACGCAGCCCTAGACCGCCTTCCTCTCTCAGTAAGCAAACTGTGTCCCATGATATACGAGGTGGTGCCTTACTACGAGTATCGGATTTCCATAGGAAAGAGGCGCACATGCTATCAACCTTCTTGAGGAAGCGCTTGGGTAACATGAAGACCGAGCTCCACGAGTTAACTAGCCCATATATGACCGATGAAATGAGCTGGATTTTCCCTGCTTGGGAGAGAAATCTTGTTGTCCAATTGTTCACCTTGCCTTCAATCCTATCCAAAAGCGGCTGATAATCTGACTTTGATAGTTTACATGGGCTCAACGGCACACCAAGGTAACGGACAGGTAGCTGCCCCAATCGGATCGCGATTTGAGCCGAGATTTCATCCTTTCAGAATTTGTGATCCCAGCCAAGAAAAGTTCAGACTTATCCCTATTAATAACCAGTCCTGAAAGCAAGCCAAAAGAGCGGATAATATTAGTGGCTGCCAATAGTGAATGAGCTTCGCCGCGTGTGAAAATCATCACATCATCTGCGAAGGCAAGATGAGTGATACTCGGTGCATGACATTTTGGATGCGGGGTAATAAGTCCAGTGGTAACTCCCTTGTCGAGCATCCTAGTTAAGACCTCCATGGACAGGATAAATAGATACGGTGACATTGGGTCGTCTTGGCGTAAACCTCTTCGCCCTTTGAAATAACCAGCAAGTTCACCGTTTATAGATATGGAGAACTTTGTGGTTGTAACACATGTCGTGATCCAGTTTACAAGAGTGGGCGGCAGGTTCAAGGTTTGGAGGACCCGAAGGATAAATCCCCAACTTAGTGTATCAAAAGCCTTCCTAATATCAATTTTCAGCATGGCTGATCTTGGCGCCGCTTTGCAGTTATAATCTCTGACCAACTCTGTAGCAAGCAAAATATTCTCCAATATTAGTCTGACCTTTCATGAATGCTCATTGATTGGCCGAAATAATCTTATCCAAGAAGAGTTTCAGCCGTTTAACCAAGATTATCGAGATAACCTTGTAGGTAGTATTGCAGCAACTAATGGGCCGAAAGTCAGATAAGTTCACCGCACCCAGTTTTTTGGGGATTAACGCAATGGTGGTTGCATTAATTTGTCCAAGCAGTCTGCCCGTGATAAAAAAATCCTGCACCGCTGCAACAAAGCAAGTACCCACCGAGTCCCAAGCAGACACATAAAATTCCATGTTATTGTTTACATCTTCATGTTGGGTTTTACCCAATAAATTTCAGAATTCTTCGCCCATTCGGAGAATGATAAATATTTTTAACGATAAATCGGTAGAAATGATGATTTTACCGTGTCATGAGCCCGTTTGGATTTAGTCGTTTATTAACTTAATTACAAGCATTCATTAATCATTATATGTACATTTTTCAAATAATAACACATGATTGGGCCTATAAAAGCCCAATAATACACTACAAAAAGATACAAACCACTCAAATTACAATTTAACCGCATAGCGAGAAAGACGGCGCCACGCGAGTGATTGACACGTGAGATTCACGCGTCGAATATGAACAATTTTCCCAAAGTTTTTTTTTTTCCCTTCGAATAGTTCGGAAAAGAACAAAGAAATCGGCCGCGTTTTTTTTTTTAGTCGGCGCAAGAAAAGCGGTCGAGTTTCCAAAACGCACCAAAAATATCTGCCTGATATTTGTGCCAGATATTATTGTCCGCTGCTAATGTGGCACTCTATGCCACGTGTAAAAGCGGCGCCATGTGGGCCCTCCCTTTTTTCTCTCTCCCTCAAGATTTTTGTTTTGTTTTCAGCTTCTGGAAAAGAAGATTTCAAGAGGCGAAGATTATCCAGGTCGAGTGATTTGATCGGGGAGAACAGGAGAGCGTAACCATGGAGCATAATTTCGGGGTGAATTTTGTTCCTCCCGAGCTGGATCGCGGGTCGGAATCGTCCGCAACGTTGGAGTCCCGGAGCGAGTCGGCTCGATCGAACTCGTTCGAGTCCGCTGTCACGGTCGAGAGCTCGCGGTGCTGCTGGTGCGAGTCGTGCTGTGATGCCCATACGAGACCGGTAAGGCAAAATCCCCTTCTCGCTTTTTCGTGATCCGTTCTTCTTATCTAATTCGGGTATCGTTTGATGCTTCATCGATGCTCCATGAGATCGTGTTCCTTCTTCGTAGGCTTGTTTCTTAGCTTGATGAGAATATCATCATTTACTCTGTTCATTCTCTATGATTTAATTTATTTATTTTTTCACCGGATTTCATTTTGTGTTTCCTTTTATTCGATTTTGGGATATCTTTGGAAGTGAGAAAAGCATTATTTTGAAATATTTCTTCGTTCTGATCGTTTTGGCTCAGGAATTCGCGTATTGATTTGAGTACCCATGTCTATTTATTTGTTTATAGAATGCGTTTGCTTGGTTTTCTGTTTCTATTTTTTCCCCTTTTTTGATCTGATTTTTTTTCAATTGTTTTAAGAGCTTTGAACCCTAGGAAATGTGATGCAGAGCTCATACTGGTATTTGGATCCAATCCCAGCCCTTGAAATTTTAAAGTTCGAATGAATCAAACCTATGCAATGGCTTGATTGAATTCTGAACTTGATTGTAATATCCCTCTGATTCTTGTGAATTAATTAGGCCTAACAATCAATGGTTGATGACTGTGGATCCTGCACTGAAAAAGGCCATGTTTTTATGGAGTTCGTGTCTTCCGTCTCTCTCTTAATATAAAGTTTGCTTGAAATGGCAACGCACTTGGGCCGATTACCATCTGAAGTAGTTTGTTCATTATCTCTTATCTGTTTGCTATCATTGGAAGTGTTTTTGGGTATACCGTCGTTGCTATAAGCACATGGAGTGTTACTTTACGAGTCAATGTTCCCTCCGTGCGGTTGCTTCCATGAGATTGAAACATATATGAACATTCTAAGTTCGACTGATTTGATCGAAAATCGAATGTTATATACACAAAATGCCTAGAAAATCTTTTGAAGTTTCCAAGGGACCCATTTCCATAGACTTTTTTTTTTTTTATGTTGGTGTTCTACTTGCCACAGTGAATGTCCTTGATCACTCCATGTTTCGGGGGTGGATTGCGTCGATAGAACAAAACCATCTTTCTTGAGAAACATTGAGCATGATGAAATTGAATCCTGAATTGAAAGTGAAAACGGGCTGTGATTTTTAGCGTTAGTGCAGGCATATCAATGTCTGCTATAAAATCATGGGCATGTTTCATTGCCTTTTGATGGTTAATTATTGACTGACAAGAGGTAATCATATTCTTCTTTTCACGGCGGAATTCTTCCAACAGAATATGTCTCATTTTTCTTTGTCCCTTATCAACCTCCTTCTGCAGGATGAGTGCAGTGGTTGGACGGATGAGAAACACAATTCATATCTCGATTACTTGGAGAAGTCGTTTGTCAGGAAGTTGCACTGCCTGATGGGAGGAAAGACTCATAGATTATTCACAACTCATGATCTGCCAACTAACCCTTGCAAATCCAGTGATCAGGTTTGAGATTTGATTCAGTTTATCATCTAACTTTTTTTAGATTGGAATCGGTTGTATTCTTCAGTGTCTCATATCGCATTTGTGTTCTGCAGTTTGTCCGCTGGCAGAAGATTAACTTTGGAAATAAGAGGGCTCGTTTGGACACCTCATCTGACTTTTCTCTTCATGAAAATCCAGCGGCAAACCATTTTTCAGGAAACAGTGGAAGTTACACTGCTGTCCGAGGAGGTTTGTTATGTAACGAGAAAACCAACCACTCTGGTGACAAGGTTTTGCCCGGGACATCCTTGAAAAATCTTGTAGGACATGAATGTTCCACTGAAATCACTGCAGGTAATCATGGCTTAGTCTAGTTAAACTTAACCCTCACTAAGAGATTCTATGTAGAGTTATAATTAAACTGAGATTCACAAGCTGAAGTTATAATAACTGAGATTCTATGTTCTGTTCACAATGTGAATTATCATAGTTTTGTAGCTATATCTGTAGATGCTCTCTTTTAAGGTTGTCTAGCACAGCTCACTTGTATTAACTTTTACAAGGCTCACCTGGAGGAGGATATCAAAAACTTTAGTTCTATTCTACCTCAGAAATGCCTTAAAGAGTTCACTCTTTTTCATTATTTGCAAGAAGAAGGGAAGAACGATGATGATGGTATTGTAGCTCTTTCCGCTGTTTACGATTCAGAGGGGTCGGGTCAGAACTTCACAGACGGAGAGAAAGAAGAAAGGCCATTTCAGATCCAAAACTGGAGTGCTCAACCAACAACAATCAGGTAAATTAAAACAAGAACACCCTTTTCTCCGAATGCACCACTTGGATGGATCTGGAACCGTTAGCTAAAGTTTGCTGCAACAAAAGGGTGTTTCAGAGTGCCCAACAACAGGAGCCTCCCATAGATGCTTAGGACAAGAGGGTTGCGTGTCATGTGTTTGTTAGAGTTAATGTGAAAGATATTCGAAAAGATTATTGTGATATTAGATTTGATTTCACAGAAAAAGCCTTCCTCAGATTGAAACTGGGACCTGAAAGGAGCAAAACCTATGAAGTGAAGTGAAAGTGCTGTGATCTGAGGTTGAAGGCACATCTGACGACTGATGATGAACCCAGTTTGTATAGAAGAGAGGCTGGTTTTGTCCTCTTTTAATTAGTCTTTTGATATTTTTTTCCTCATGGATATGTAATTTTGATATTTTTTTTCTTTGAGAAAAATGGGAACCATGCCATATTCGTTTATCTGCTCTCCTTAATTGTTCTTGAAGAGCCTAGGATATATATATTTGAGGGCATATACCTTTGTATTAAAAGGAATATACACTTTTGAAAGTATTCTCTTTTTTTTTTTTTTTTGGGGTAACTATCACATGAAATTCCATGTGTATGATTAAAACAGAAGATGCGACTCTTGAAGGGATTTGAAAACAATGAAAGCGTTTTATATATTTACCACTTTTGTATAGTTGCTGGTTTTTGGACGAACTCTATCAACCATGTGTCCTTTTGGCGAGGACCACTGTCTAAACCGGAAGAGCCACCAGTTTTGTTTATTATTATACCCAAATAAAGTCGATATTTTAATACTAATTTCGGAAAATAATCTGTGTATATAAAAAAATACAAATATTTTTAATTAGAAAATGAATATTTTTAATAAAAAAAATCAAAGTCCGATATGACCAAAATAACAAAAAATCGATATAATTTTTATAGAATATTTTAATTTGAACATGAAAATAATTTATAAAAATCAAAATATCTATCTAATAATAATATTTAATGTGTATTTTATTGTAGTATATTGCAATAATTATTTTCACATGGAATGATGAGTTTGGAGGTTTGAATTAAAAATAAAAAAGAAACAAATTTGGATAACGAATATTATAATAAAATAAAGTTATGGCGTTTCTTTGCCTCTAAGAACAACGCTAAAGACACTTGCCATAAATGTAAGCACCGTTCCATAAAACAACCATCAAGCTTGTTGGTATAATATATAAGAAATATGTGAAATTGGATTCTTATTATTCGTGGTCTTATGTTAAATTACAACTAAAATTTCTCCAATTATTACTCAAAACGATGTTATTAAATGAGGAGATATAATATATATATATATAACGATTGTAAAGTCATCTAAATTATACATATAGATTAAAGTTTTAGGATTTATACATAATTTAGTTGTTTTTAATTTATATATATATTCATTTTAATTAATCAAAGCTATTATTATTTTTAAAAATTCTATGTGAATGTACAAAAAATAATTTTGTTAACATGTCAAGGTATTTCATTATTTTTTAAATAAAATAAATGTTGCAAAAAAAGAAAAAACAATTACTAAAATAGAAACAAATAGAAAGGCAAATCGGAGGCGTTTTCTTTCGAAAAACAATTTGATCGCAGAAGTAAACTTGACCCTTTGGACCTCTCAAGAGCTCATCTCTTCCCCTAGAAAATGGCCACACGTCTCCCACCTCCCCTTACCTCCTTCGACGACGACGACGACGACGAACCCTTCCGACAACCTCCATGGCTTCTCTCTCTGTCCGTTTTCTTTCTCCTCAAGCTCTTCTCTCATCTGGGTCTTCCTCTAAGCCCCAAAGATCCGTTCTTGCCGCCGCTCAGACGACGGCGCCGGCGGGGTCTGCGGCGCCGGCGGTGGATGCCGAAAGGATTGAGCCTAGGGTTGAGGAGAAAGATGGGTTCTTTGTCCTGAAGGAGAAGTTTAGGAAAGGGATTAACCCTCAGGAGAAGGTGAAGATCGAGAAGGAACCTATGAAGCTGTTCATGGAGAATGGAATTGAGGAGCTGGCGAAGATGACGTTGGAAGAGATCGAGGGAGACAAGACGTCGAAGGATGATATCGATGTTAGACTCAAGTGGCTTGGTCTGTTCCACCGAAGGAAGCATCAGTGTATGTTTTCTCTTTCTCTTCTTTAATTATTTCTCATTACTTGGTCAATTTAATTGTACTATTTACACATGTTTGTTTTATAGAAGTGAAAGCATATTCGGAAATGTAATTGTTAATTTGAAAAAAAAACTCATTTTGGTCCAAACGCTTTAGAGAATAGTATTTAAATTTAAATTTGTGCCTAATATTCCTTTCTCCGGCGTTCATTGTTTCCTTTTCTGCAGTGGAACTTGTGTGGCAACATTAGATTCATCGTTTCTGCTAAAAACTTTGTTCATATACTATCTGATTCATAGTGGATCATCTGTTTGATGATTTGATGGAGAAAGGAGGCCAAAGATCTCCCATATTGCAAAAGTATTTCTTGTCTTGCTGCCTAAATTGTTCAATTGGTGATGTTTCCGGTAGCTGTTCTGTCAGATTCCAAGTTTTCTAGGATCTGGTTAGTTAGTTGAGCACCTCAGTCGTTTTCGTTTTCATGTCCAAACTTTGACCCTTTGATTTTTCCTGGTACTTAGTTGATGGAGTCATGTTCATTGAACTGTTAAATGATATCGCTTCTGTTCCGAGCAATTATGTGTTTAATGGGTGTACGTATATTTTCTGCTGTGCAGATGGTAAGTTCATGATGAGGCTGAAGCTACCAAATGGTGTAACAACGAGTGCACAGACACGATACCTAGCGAGTGTGATCAAGAAATACGGTAGCGATGGCTGTGCGGATGTAACTACAAGACAGAACTGGCAGATCAGAGGCGTTGTCTTGCCGGATGTGCCTGAGATCTTGAAAGGACTGGCTGAGGTTGGGCTAACGAGTCTACAGAGTGGAATGGACAATGTGAGGAACCCGGTCGGTAATCCTCTCGCCGGAATCGACCCCGATGAGATCGTTGACACCAGGCCCTACACTAACCTCCTCTCTCAGTACATCACAGGCAACTCCCGAGGAAATCCTGGCGTCACCAACTTGTAAGATTCATCTGGCTTTGTGTTATGCAGGGAGACGGGTTCTCCTGTGATGAAATGCTAAGAGGGTTGCGGTTGTTGTTTCTTGCAGGCCAAGAAAGTGGAATGTATGTGTAGTTGGGACTCATGATCTCTATGAGCATCCTCATATCAATGATCTAGCGTACATACCCGCCAACAAGGATGGAAGGTTCGGATTCAATTTGCTGGTGGGAGGATTCTTTAGTCCCAGAAGGTGTGAAGAGGCCATCCCTCTCGATGCCTGGGTCCCTGCCGAAGATGTTCTTCCATCCTGTAAAGCTGTTCTAGAGGCCTACAGAGATTTGGGGTTCCGTGGAAATCGCCAGAAGACAAGAATGATGTGGCTCATTGATGAACTCGTGAGTGAAAAAACATATAGAGACTGTCTGTTTTCCTTGCAGATTCATCTAGTGATATGGTAGCTTGTTATCGAATCATGTTTCGTGGTGTTGATCTATTGGTTTATATCCGTATTTTGATCTCTGATGCCCGTAAAATGCAGGGCCTTGAAGGGTTTAGAGCTGAGGTAGAGAAAAGAATGCCAGAGAGGAAGCTCAGAAGGGCACCGTCCGAGGATCTTATCAAGAAACAATGGGAGAGAAGAGACTATTTCGGTGTCCACACTCAGAAACAAGAAGGCCTCAGCTATGTGGGCATCCACGTCCCGGTTGGCAGGCTACAAGCCGACGACATGGATGAGCTCGCGCGCCTCGCCGACACTTATGGGTCGGGCGAACTCAGACTTACAGTAGAGCAAAACATCATCATCCCCAACGTGGAAAACTTGAAAGTAGAAGCTCTCTTACAAGAGTCATTTCTTAAGAACAGGTTCTCACCCGAGCCGTCCATCCTGATGAAAGGCCTAGTCGCTTGCACGGGAAACCAGTTCTGCGGGCAGGCCATAATCGAGACCAAGGCAAGAGCCATGAAGGTGACCGAAGAAGTGGAGAGGCTAGTCTCTGTGACGAAACCCGTGAGAATGCACTGGACCGGGTGTCCCAACACGTGCGGTCAGGTTCAAGTTGCGGATATCGGGTTCATGGGATGCATGACCCGGGATGAGAACAGGAAGCCCTGCGAAGGGGCCGACGTATTCGTGGGCGGAAGGATAGGGAGCGACTCTCACCTGGGCGAGGTTTACAAGAAGGGTGTTCCTTGTAAAGACTTGGTCCCTTTGGTTGCAGAGATTCTGGTGAATCAGTTCGGTGCTGTTCCCAGAGACAGGGAAGAAGACAACGATGAGTGATGTCTGATAATCTCAGTTACACCCATGAGTAACACAATAAAATGGAGACGAATACAGCAGTTCTGTTTTTTTTTTCTCTTTTTCTATGCTTTCTCTGTAATTTTTTTTTTTTTTTTTGTTAATGTAGTGTAATACCGATTTTTTTCTTGTCATTATGCTTATCTTTTCCGTGGAAAGATCCTGAATTTCTCTAACAAGATCAATCTAAACACCCATTTGAACGGATGCAAGAACAAGAAGAAAGAATTCACAGCAAGAAAACTGAAAAAACGTGACACTAAAAGTTCAAAACTTTTGAAGGGATTCACAAAGTTTCTTTACGATTTTCATAAAGTAAATTTGTTTATGCATCTAAATTCATAGATAGGTAGCAGTTGTACTGTTACCAGACCAAAGCATTATGCGTGTTCCTCCTCCTTTCGCCGCTTGGCAACAAAACTGTCCTTGGTCTTCCTCAGCCTTTGACCATGAAAAATCCGTGAAGAATCTACAGAGAAAAAAAGTTTGAAATTTGATATTATAGCAAATTTAGGGGTCTTTTTGCAATATTTTCCAGGCCAATCCGTAAATAATCTGAATTTTTTTTTTAAAAAAAAAGCTGAATCATAGTACTCTGTTTCCTGTCTATAATACAGAGTTCGTATTTTTTTTTCCCGTTGCTGTGAATGCTTTGCATCTCTCTCTCTCTCTCAAACAACGGCGATTTCATCTCTCCTCCTTTCATGGCGACCAACAACGATGCCCGTCTTGAGTTCTTCATGCCATACCTTCCATACCCCTCCGATCTCATGGTAAGTATAGTGTAATCACTATCACGTTTTTTTGTTTGTTCTTGTTCTCGTTCTTGTTTGTGCGTCTTGGTTCTTGTTCCGTAAAGTTCGAGACTTTAAGAAATGATCCACATCTCTCTCTTTCTCTGTAAGGAAAAAAAAAAGTTTTTTTTATTGTTTCAGATGTTCTGATTTTGCTCCAATTTTCTTGTTTGTAAAACCTGTTACAGTTCCAAGTGTATGGATACTGTACCTTCCAGAGTGTTTTCCAACTTTCTGGGAAGGATTTGTTGCAGAGGCTGACATTGGACCTTGTTTTCATGTTTGTTTTCGCTCTTGAATTCTGTAATCTGTTTCCTTCATTTGGGTTTTTGAATCATTTTCTTCATCAACTCGTCTATGATTCGATCGATGCTGGGGGAAAAGGTTGAAACTTTCTCCGTAAAGAAGCGAAAACTTAGGCACCCTCTTCATCCGATTTTGGGTTTGAGTTCTGTTGTGTCATGTTTGTGCATCGGTATCGGCACTTAACTTCTCTGACATACAAACTACATTGTGTCTGCTTAAGCAGAATCTCCCGCAGTCCTTCAGCCGCTACTTACCGAGGCCTCTTCCCGAGAGAGTGATCATCAAAAACTCCAGCGGAAACTTCTGGAGAGTCCGCGTGAAAGGAAGGAACCAGTCTGCGTATTTCGCGAGCGGCTGGAAAACATTCGCCCAGGACAACAATCTCAGGGCAGGAGAGTTCATGGTCTTTGAGTACAAGCCTCCAGCCACCTTTCACGTGAGCATATACGGTCTCTCTTCTTGTCGGGAGAAGAGAGCCCAAGTCGAGATCCAAGAGATCTCCGAGGAAGAAGACGTGATCGAAGCTGGTGACAGTAACGACATTTGTTCACCCCTAATGGAAGAAGATATCTCCGATGAAGACTTTCTGATGGACACAACAATACCGGAAAGTATCACAAAGTTGCAGATCGGTGGTAAGAAAGGTAAAGTTTCCGAAAATCTCTATTATCGTTATTTGTTTTTAACGTAAGAATCGATCGTTTATTTGGACAGTTTGCATTTATATATGTTAAAAAGGCCAAGGAGCATCAAGCAAACGGAAAGGTCTCGTTGTCGAGAATCCAGAGAGATATCTCGACGATCCCACGAACCCTTTCTTCGTGACCGAGCTCAAGAACAGGAAATTCGAGCTGGTGAAAAAACTCGCAGTCTCTAGAAACACGATCCTATCGACTATTCGTTTAGAAAGATTTTAACCATTTATCATCCATTTGCCTTGTATGATTATACAGTTGGTTCCTACTCAGATGGTTAGAGACTGCAATCTGAGATTCTCCAAAACCATACGCTTCATCGACGAGTTTCCATCGGAAAAACTCGAAGGAAAACGCGTTCCATGGAAGGATAAACGCGTTTGTATTAACCGGTGGGCAAGAGTTTGCAGAAGGAACAAAATCAAACCCGAAGACAAGATCATATGCGAGCTTCTTCGCGAACAGGGTACTGTGTATGCCATCAAGATTCACATCATCCGCGGATGATAAAACGATGGATACGAGCTTTACTTTCTCGGATTTTATCTTGAAGTTCGGATATGCGAAACTTGTGTTTTTTTAACTTAACTTGCATTGTCTGAACTTAATCTAAGCACCTATGTTGTTGTTGTTTTGTTTCAGTTTTTGTCTGGGATTTGGTTTATATTACGCTAAAAGAACTATGGGTATCAACTTTTTGTATGTTCACACGTGCGAATTAGTTTGGGTCAACCCAGGGGTCGGCTCTCTTCCTCCAATTTACGCACGTGTTTGTTGAATACTCATCACCAGTGGAGCGCTGCTCAAACGTGCTGGTATAACCCTCGTATCTATAGGGTCTCAAATATATCCTTATATAATTTCAAATATAGGTTTAAATTTGATTCTTTTTTTGCTCCACACTCTTTGTAAAATTATAGTTCTTTGAAATTTTTGAAAACGTTAATATTTTTTTGTTTTGTGTCAAAATGATAATATTTTAATTTGGAATGATGATAGAAAAAAAAACACGCAACTGAGAGTTTCTATCCATAACTTGTGTAATTTTAAAAAGAAAAACAAATGTAAGAATTTATTTAGATATTTTATGTTCTCTAATATTTTGCTCTGATGTCCGTCGAATTTCGATGAGAAAACATGGATTATGAATAGGTTTTAATAAAGTTTTAAATTTTTTACATATTAATATTAATTTTTTTTCCACACGATGTGTGCGTATTATTATCTATTTACAGAGTTTTACAACTCTTATTCAATCATATGATAGGTTCGGATCTAATAATTATACCGAAAACTAATAAAAATAACGACGGAAAATAAGCAAAGAGAATAAATATTTGGCGAACAATATAATTCTTCTTTGACAAAAAAAATAAACAATATAATTCTTGAAAAAAAAAAACAAAGGCAAGAGAGAGTTGTGTGTGAAAAGAATATTGAACTAATAAATTAATAATAATATAAAGAATCTAGAAAGTGTTACGTGGAGATAGTGATAGTGGTCGGCCAACGATATTTACACGTTGAGAGGGTCAATATACTAACACGTGTGACCATCACAATTCACAAATGCCAGCTCATCATTTGGTCAAAGCCTTCTCTTCATTCTAGATGCTTTGCACTCACAATTCTTCCCTTTTTTTTAGGTTTTTGTAAAACAAAAAAAAAAATGGAAAGAGGGCAAAATATGAAAAAGAAATATATAAATATATTATGGATTCACTAGCTAACGGTATTTAGTCTTCGGATCTAAAATACCAAAACAATGGATAAATGAACTTTTAACGACCCCACGTGATCTATTTCTATTCAAATTAGTCTTAATTATTTAACATAATCTGCATAGATTTAATAATAATTAGTTTTATTTTTCTATTGTTTTTTCTATTGTTAATACATCCAACCTCTGCTAATGGTCGTACTTAACTTCACAAGACTTTGCCAAAATCCATTATTTTGAAAAGATTTTTTTTTTTCAAATGGTGAATGTTTACAAACGGTAAATAAAGATTTTTTTTATAATTTTTTTAATAAAAGTATAGCGCAAAACAATCATTATTTTGAAAAGCATAATAGAGGAGATGTAGTATTCAACTTACTTATACGCGTAATTTGTTTTTGACAAAACATAAATAAAACGTTTATTTGACTAATAATATAAATTAATTAATGGCTTAATTATCTCATTGGCTGAAGCAATTCTCTCACTTAAAGGATTTTCGCCTAAACCAGAAAACGATGTGAATTTATTATATAAACATTTAGTTGTGTGATTAATTAACCAATTAAAAAAAAGCGGCTCACTAAAAGTGCGAAAAGCACTAAACAGTAGGGGTGTCAAACGAGCCAGCTCGGATCATTTTGGACTCGGCTCATTTGGCTCGGATCGTTTTGGGCTCAACTCGTTAGGCTCGTTTTCTAACGAGCCAAAAAAACCTTGGCTCAGATCGCTCGTCAGTTTTCCGATCTGAACGAGCCGGCTCGTTGAGCTAAAGATATATAATATTTTTTTTTATATTTATTTTAAATATAATTATAAATTTAAATAAATACATAAAATTTTAATAAAACATAGGATGCTTAGGTGGCTTCACCACAATCCTTTAAACTCCTTTATTAATATATATAGATTTAAAATAAATCTTCAATAAGAACTCAACCACTTGGATTTTAAACTTAGCTCACGTCGGAGTTATTGCTATCACCCCTTGTAAGTTTTATAAAATTTTAAATGAAATCATAAAACGCTCCCATGATAAATGTTCCATAATAAAATTATGGACTCCAATTATAAATGTTTCTAGGTCCCGCCGCTTATAGGGATATTGCTATTCTAAGCCCTTTGACTTTTCCGTTATTTATTTATAGCAAACGCTAACGCATTCCTTTCAAGGCATAATAAATAAACCGATCCAAACCAAACACCGTAGAATTATTCAAACTTTGAAGATACATATGTTCCATGTCCGTTATTCACAAATCAAGTAACTTAAGACGCACGCAACGTAATCGACAACAGAGGAATCTTCGGGTTCTTGTAATGACCGATGCCCGAATCATCAAACCCTCCCTTCGATTCTTGCGTGCGTAAGTCCGACACAAGCATCCACGAAATCTCCTTCTATGAAATCTGTCGAGAAAATCTGAAGCTTGTCTCCATGTCCCTTGGAAACGCACTGAGAGATGAACAGTCTCGCGTATCCTCTGATCCGGTCAGTCACCGGTTTAACCCACACGACCCCGGTTTCCGGTTTAGGTGTTACCGTATTCTCCACCCGGTAAAAGAATCTTCTAGAAGATATCGACGGCTGCTGGCTAAGAAACTCCATATTGCTCTGGAATTTCGTCCAGGGAAGATCGGTGTCGATCCAGTTATCTTTCAGATAATCCGAATTCCATAAGGGTTCTCCTCGATTCGGCCTCGGGGATTCCCTCGGTTTCCAGACGCAGATCACCCTTTTCGGCAGAATCTCAGACACTGACTTGTTGAACAAGTTATCGTCTTGCTCAATCAGAAACTGCCCTAACTTGTCCGCCAGGTAACCCTCGAACCCGGGTGGATCCTTGTGACCGAACTCCGTACGCATCTCGAGTATCACAATCTCGGAATGTGTCTCAGACAAGAACCTGATGACGTCATTGATGACGACGTCCACGTCGTATGACGTCAGGATCCCGTGGCATACGTGGCGATCCTCCTGGACTCGGATATCGAGAACTCGGGCGCCTATGACGAGCTGCTCGTAGACGGAGAGGGTTTGGCATTCAGCCAGCGGTCGGGAGATCAGAGGAACGCCGATATCGTTGGTGGCGGAGTCGTGAGTTCCCGGCCACACGATCTTGTCCGATCGGGCGGTCGGTAATCGTCGCCGGGAAAATGTGAGCCGCTGGATTGCTGGAGATCTTTGAGGGTTTTTTCTTCTTTCGAAACCTTTTTCTGATGCTCGAGTTGATCGCTGATGAACGAAAACATGTTTTAGAGACGAAGAGGAATGGTTCTTGAGGATCGAATATGGATCTTGTCGAGGGTATTCGACTTTATAAATATTGTGTGATGTTTGTTAGTTTTAGGTTAGAACATGTGCAACGTTACATAAAATCATATTATATATTTTGTTTTTTCCGTAACGTGTACGCGTTTTTTTTATTATATAAAAAACCCGAAATTAATTTAAATCCTAGGGTTGTGGTTAGGCTGTTATTTTCGCTGGTTGATCCTTTTTGAAATGGTCTAAAGATTACACGCTTTGGTGAGATTTTGAGCAATATAAAACGTGCAACCAACATTTATTTATTTGAGATTTATTACGTTTTTCAGCCGACCAAGTAATTAAAATTTGGTCCACTAAAAATCATGTTCGTATGCTGCGAGATCTTAATTAATCTGTATGATTAATGGATTAGTATTTAACGAACCCAAACTCTTTGATCAATTTGTGATTATGGCCAATATTATAATATAATCCTCTTGTGAAAAAAATGATTGTTTCGCCTTGAAGAGGGAAGATTAACGGAAACGAAATAATTATTTTTTTTTATAAAATAAATAAAAAGCGAAAGGAGTTGTAGCTTATAAACATAAAATTCCCTAAACGTAGAATTATCTTTCATTCATCATTTAGAAGAGAAGCAATGATACACCTACAATATAATATTTGCATACACTGTGTGTATACATAACATGCCATTACAAGATCGATAAAAAAAATCTTGATAACTTAGAAATACAACCCTGAACCGATATCTAAACCGGGGTTTTCTTTCGGTTTCTCAAAATAGCAAAAGGAAACCAATGGCAAATAAACGTAATTAATTCCATTTTTTAACAAATAAATCTTAATACGTGGTAAAGGATGGGGTAAAACCCTTTTCTAGCTCTTTTATTCGAGTGTTCATTTGGAGAGATATTCACCTTACTTTCTTTAATCCTCCTTAATATATAGTTGGACCCGAGATCCGATAAACTTCTGAATTATCAAATAAAAAATAAAAAAAATCTAAATACCTGATGATAAAAACACAGTCTAATATTATACATTTACTATTAATATACGATATTATTTAAACCAAAAAAATATACATTCTTATTTTCATCGTGAAAACATGAATTCGAACATAGTGTTGTAGACCATATTTACATGCGAGACATGAAAAAGAATAATTTGGATAAACATGAAGATGGTAATGAATATAATTTGAAAAGGACAAATGATGCAAAACACACAATGACTAAAAACCAAAGAGAAAGATGTTTTGAAGTGAATTGTCCGTGGAACAGTGAATGACCATCAAGATAACGCTGGTGCAGAATGGGCCCGCCTATCAAACCCAATCATCGGCCCAACTCGGCCCACCTTCACGTGGCATGCCTAATGCCTTCCCTTCATATATTATATATAGTTTTTCGAATTTCCAATGGGCAGTTTAGGTACACTGTTCGACCACTATTGTTTTAGAAAGCCCCCCCTTAAAAAAACTACTAATTTTTTTTAAAGTTTTATAATAAATTTTAAAAATATGTAATATTTATTAATTTATCTAATTTAATTACAAAATAACAGTTGTAAAATAATAGTCATAATAATAAATTATGTTCACAAATGTATTCTTAAGTTGAGAACCGAAATAAATTTATATTTTTTATGTTGTACAAAGATATTTTTTTTTATATAAATTTGTAGATAATTAATGTTTTAGTTGATCTTTTGCAAAGTTAATAGTTCTTTTTGGGGTCATGAATATAATCCAACATTTACGTCAAATTTGAAACTCCAATATTGCATGTCAGAAATAAAACAGAAGAATTTGTGTACAATGTTTTATTAAATTGTTTATGCATTGAAATACAATATATCTATATGGTTCGGTGTGTGTGTGTATTCATTCATTCATATATAATACAAGGGTTTTTCTCAGCCAACAGTGCCACTGCATTTTGTCCACGTCACCGTCATTTGGCGTCAGTCACGATGATAACAATGAGCCATTCTCCACCGTCCGATCTCTAAACCCAAAACGATTCTCGATCGTCGATCAAAGTCTCTTATCCCCTTCCCCGTCGTAGTCGCAGCCATGAAAAGCACTTTCATGGAGTATCCTCAGATTTTACTTCCATAGGATTCTCTCTCTCTCTCTCTCTCTCTCTCTCTCTCTCTCTCTCTCTCTCTCTCTCTCTCTATTTATTATTCCTCTCTTTCTCTCTCTAACCAGGTAAGTTTTTTCTTCGCCTTTGTTCTCCTTCTCTCTGTTCCCTTTAGTTTTTAGGGTTCTTTTCTCTGTTGTGCTTGCACTCTTTTTGCGAAACCTTTGGCTTAATATACCCGGGATCCGGAGATCGTTATCACGTCCATTGAATTTTATGTCTGGATTCGGAAATGGGCGAGGATCCAGGGTTTTGTCCGGATAATTCTAAGCTAGGGTTTTTCGCTTTCCGCTTGATTTTTCTGTTGCTGGAGCTTTTATCGAGATTAAGCGTATGTGATTGTTTCTCTTGGTTTCGATTCGGTTCTGATTTTTGGGGGCTTTTTTCTGATTAGGGTTTCGAAGCTGTGGTGATCTAGAAATGGGAGATGAGGCTGACGTTGTGGATGAGTCACACCCAGAAAAGAATACGGTTAAGGAGGATAGGGTTAGCGGTGAGAAGGTAGAGAAGAGTGAGTTGGTGGGATCTGATGAAGCGAGAGATGCAGAAGACGAGGTTTTTGAAGAAGCAGTCGATTCACAGGAGGATTTCCCCGAAGATGGTCGAAAACCTGAATCGTCTGAAGCCAGTGCGGTTCACGAGGATTCGGCTTTAGAGGTAGCTGCAGATAATTCAAAGGGAGAGTATGATGTGGATGATTTTGAAGAGGCGACAGGCACTCCTAATGATACAAGTAACAACGAGGCGGAAACATCGGCTTTGAAGGTTGAGAATTTGGTGGATGCCAAGTGTCATCTCGAGGCAAACGTGCCGAATACAAATGGCGAAGGAGAGGCTGAAGCCGATTTTGCTACTCCTGAAATAAATGGTGATAGAGGGGAATTCATTGGTGGTGCTAATCAAGCTGCGGAAATTGCAAATGCTCATGTTGAAGTAAACTCGGATGTTGTTAAGAATCCTGAGAAGTTCGATGCCACAGATTCCAATTCACTGCTTGACAATGGGAGTATGGAGAACGGAAATGTCAACTTGATCGATGAAAATGGTGTTGGCTCTCATGAAGAGAAAGAACCAGGCACTGAAGTTGTGTTAAAAGATGCTGAACCCAATGACTCAGGGGATAGCAGTATTGAAGACGGAAATGAGCTGAGTGCTTCTATCTCAGCTGGCACACGACTTGATCAGCAGGTTGATGGAGGTGAAGGAATGGATAATAGTTTCTCTGAGAAGGGCTCAGTATATGAAAGCAACGACCCAGGTGCAAAAAGAAATGGTGATCTCAGTTCTGGAAATGAGCTTGCTGGGGATGAAACAGCTGGAGAAGCTTTCAGTAGTCATATCTCTACTGAGGGGGATTACACAAAGAGTGACGTTAGAAACACTTCTGGTGACATGACGTCTTCCATGGAGAAGATTATTGTTGAGGAGAAGGGAGAAGCTAAAGGTCATAGTAATGGTTTGGAACCAGTGGATCACTTGGTTTCTCCTTCTCTGAGCTCAAATTCAGAATCCGCTGAAGTTCAGAGCAATAATGATGTTGCCGAGGGAAAGGATAGAGAGAGTGAGGCTGCACAAAGTATAAATAGAGAACAAAATGTTCAACAGAATGCTCGAGTGAACAAAGAACATGAGCAGCAGCAAAGCAGCGACGCTAATGTAGAACATCAGATTAAGGTAAGCTCACAGGTGGGTAGAGATTGCGAGGAACCACGTGCTGTGAGTTCTGCTTTCCCAACAGAGAGTAGAAGTAATCTTGCAACATCGCCTCCTGTTCCTCCAGCTGGTCTAGGGAGAGCTGCTCCACTTTTAGAACCTGCACCACGTGTTTCTCAACAGCCTCGTGTCAATGGAAGTGTTTCCCATACACAAGCTCAGCAAGTTGAGGACTCTACTGCTACCGAGGCTGATGAGCATGATGAGACACGTGAAAAGCTCCAGATGATCAGGGTGAAATTCTTGAGGCTTGCACATAGGCTAGGGCAGACTCCACATAATGTCGTTGTTGCTCAGGTTTTGTACAGGCTTGGACTAGCTGAACAGTTACGGGGCAGAAGTGGCAGCCGTGTTGGTGCCTTTAGTTTTGACCGTGCCAGTGCCATGGCAGAGCAACTCGAGGCAGCTGGACAGGAGCCACTTGATTTTTCTTGTACGATTATGGTGCTCGGGAAAAGTGGAGTTGGTAAAAGTGCAACCATCAATTCCATATTTGATGAGATGAAATTTGGCACCGATGCTTTTCAGATGGGAACGAAGAAGGTTCAGGATGTTGAGGGTTTTGTCCAGGGAATTAAGGTTCGGGTGATTGATACTCCGGGCCTCTTACCATCCTGGTCTGACCAACGCCAGAATGAGAAGATCCTGAATTCTGTTAAGAGTTTCATCAAGAAGACACCACCCGACATTGTATTGTATCTTGATAGATTGGATATGCAGAGCAGAGATTCTGGTGACATGCCTCTCTTGCGTACCATCACTGATATTTTTGGACCGTCTATATGGTTTAATGCGATTGTTGTTTTGACTCATGCTGCTTCTGCCCCGCCAGATGGTCCAAATGGCACAGCTTCTAGTTATGACATGTTTGTAACACAGCGTTCTCATGTCATCCAGCAAGCCATTCGTCAAGCAGCTGGGGATTTACGTCTCATGAACCCTGTTTCATTAGTTGAGAACCACTCTGCTTGCAGGACAAATCGGGCTGGCCAGAGAGTATTGCCAAATGGCCAAGTGTGGAAGCCTCATTTGCTGTTACTCTCTTTCGCATCTAAAATTCTCGCTGAAGCAAATGCTCTTCTGAAATTACAAGATAATATGCCCGGGAGGCCATTTGCTACTCGATCCAAGGCACCCCCTTTACCATTCCTCCTTTCATCCCTTTTGCAATCGAGACCACAAGTTAAGCTTCCCGATGATCAGTATGGCGATGAAGAAGCTGAGGAAGATGATTTGGTTGAGTCGTCTGATTCTGAGGAAGAGTCAGAATATGATCAGCTTCCTCCCTTTAAGCGCTTGACCAAAGCTCAGATGTCTAAGCTTAGCAGAGCCCAGAGGAAGCAGTATCTTGATGAGCTGGAGTATCGGGAGAAACTGTTCATGAAGAAACAGATGAAAGAAGAAAGGAAGAGACGTAGGATGATGAAGAAACTTGCTGCTGAGATCAAGGATTTGCCTAACGAGTACAATGAAAATGTAGAAGAGGAGAGCAACGGACCTGCATCTGTTCCAGTTCCCATGCCAGATTTGGCGCTGCCTGCATCTTTTGATTCTGATAACCCAACTCATCGTTATCGCTACCTTGATTCCTCCAATCAATGGCTTGTGAGGCCTGTCTTAGAGACACATGGTTGGGATCATGATGTTGGCTATGAAGGTGTGAATGTGGAACGGCTTTTCGTTGTCAAAGATAAAATACCGGTATCTTTCTCAGGCCAGGTGACAAAGGACAAGAAGGACGCGAATGTCCAACTTGAAATGGCGAGCTCCGTTAAACACGGGGAAGGTAAATCGACTTCGCTAGGTTTTGACATGCAAAATGTTGGAAAGGAGTTGGCTTACACTCTCCGAAGTGAAATGAGATTTAACAACTTTAGGAGGAACAAGGCTGCAGCTGGTCTATCTGTAACACTCTTGGGGGATTCACTGTCTGCTGGTGTGAAGATTGAGGATAAGTTGATTGCGAATAAAAGGTTCAGATTGGTTCTGTCTGGTGGGGCAATGACTGGACGGGGAGATGTTGCTTATGGTGGCAGTTTAGAAGCTCAGTTGAGAGATAAAGATTACCCGCTGGGTCGGTTTTTGACAACTCTTGGACTATCCGTGATGGACTGGCATGGCGATCTAGCCATCGGGGGAAATATACAGACCCAGTTGCCAATTGGGCGGTCTACGAATTTAGTGGCTCGTGGAAATCTGAACAACAGAGGAGCCGGGCAAGTGAGTATCCGTTTGAACAGCTCCGAGCAGCTCCAACTTGCTCTGGTTGCAATGGTTCCTCTGTTCAAGAAGCTAGTTAGTTATTATCAGCAAATGCAGTACGAACAATAATATCAGGTGGGGTTGCATCTCAAGGAGTAATATAGGTTGGTTATGGATAAGTCACAGGAACAGAGTCTAGAGCTGAGCTAAGGAAAAACAAAAGGTCCAAGACTCTTGATATCATTTCCCATCTCTCTAAAAGATGTTGAATTGCGTATTTGATTGGTAGACATTGATGGGTTATTTGGTTTTGTTTGGAACAGGACAAGGAGGGGCAGCTGCATCTTCTGTCCTCTGTGTTCAGGTTTTGTTCAGATGAAAGGCAAAGAGCAATGGTGGTGGTCTTCACCCTTTTCTGGTTGCACTAGTGTCCCGATTTAAGACATATAAGTATTTTGACTGATTAGATTCTGCGGTGGTACTGTTTTCTTCACCCTTTTGGTATCTTTTTTTTAAGAATAAAAGCATATATATATATATATATTGTTCTTTGTTCGTTTGGGTCAAGACATAATAACACCTCTTGTCCAAAGAGTATTATTGTCTGTTTCATCTTTATCTCATAATAACCCTCGCTGTTTGTGTACTGTTGAATCTCTAGAGTCTGAGGAGAGTGGGAGCTTATTCGTCCCGTGTTGGATTTATTGATGAACCCATCTCGTAATGTAATCTTGCATGTAGAAACGTAACAATGAAAAAGAAAATAAACAATAAAAATAAAATGATATTATTATGCATAGCATAGCATGACCACTTATCAAAGTGAAGTCACGGCATAAAAAGAAATTATTATTCGCGTTGAAATTGAAAAGCCTTCCACAAGTTGGCCCCCTTTATATATATATATATATGTATATAATATATATGTGTGTTGTCCTTTGTCTATTATGTTCCACAAAACAGCACCACTTTATTTCCTGAGTTTATATTTAAAAAATAAAACTAGTGGTACTTTAGATTCCACGACTTCAGTTTCACTTCCCACAACAAAGGTATTGGAATTGGATAACTAACAAAAAATAAATAAAACTAAGATACGTTTCCGTACAGTCCGAATCCCAAACGCTCTAGAGGATCATCAGATCCAACATGTCTGAACAACGAAAAATCAATCAGCTCAGAAAAGATTTATCAGATTTTGTAATTCATCAAACAGGCAAAGATCGAGATGAGGAAACAGAGCATTGGGGGGATAGTTTCCGGCCACAATAGTATTACCTAAACGTTATTATATTATTGATGGTAGCGAATTCCAAACTCCACAAAGGGATTCTCCAAACACGAACCCATCACAGAACCAGATACTCGAATCCCACATACACAGTAGGATTCCATTTCCAAAGACGAAAAGAAGACGACAAAGAAACAAACTTGAAACAAAGACGCCAGAGCTACCATTGTTATACGATCAAGGTGGTCTTTCCAGATCTAAGAAACCTGACCGCAGTCGGCTATGACGACGCGCTTCGAGGTCTTCCCGGACTGAGATCCCACCTTCTCGATGGCCCTCACGACATCCAAACCTTCAACGACTTGTCCGAACACAACGTGTTTCCCGTCGAGCCACGATGTCTTCTCCGTGCAGATGAAGAACTGAGATCCGTTGGTGTTGGGACCGGCGTTCGCCATCGACAGGATCCCAGGTCCAGTGTGCTTCTTGATGAAGTTCTCGTCCTTGAACTTGGCGCCGTAGATCGACTCGCCGCCAGTGCCGTTCCCGGCAGTGAAATCGCCTCCCTGGCACATGAATCCAGGGATCACGCGGTGAAACGTCGATCCCTTGTAGTGCAGAGGCTTGCCGCTCCTCCCGACGCCTTTCTCGCCGGTGCAGAGGGCACGGAAGTTCTCCGCAGTGTCAGGAGTCGTGTCGGCGAAGAGCTCCATCACGATCCGACCAGCAGGGGCATCGCCGACGGCCATGTCGAAGAAAACCTTAGGGTTCGGCATTTTTGCAGAAATGGATTCGAGAGAATTGAGAGAGATATTGGAAAATGTTGTTTCTATGAAGTTAGGGTTTTGGGGTTCATATAGGGGGAGGATCCAAGCGGTGAGCAGAAAAAAGGTCATTGACCGTTGATTGAGGACACGTGTAAGGCTGTGGGAGCCTAACCTCTAACCGTGGTTAGTGATAATTTGATCACGGTTAAAGGTTGTGAGGATCCGAGGCTGCGCTGAGATATTTTATTTTATTTTCTTCCCATATGGATAAACCCCAAAACGACTGCGTTTCAAGATTGGGCCAAGATTCTTCTGGGCCGAAGACGGCGGGGTGTGTCACGTGTAAAAAAACAGTTAGATTTAAGATAAAACAAATTATTATTTTCTTTATCTGTTATTTTTAAATTTTATTATGTACCATAATTAGATAATTTCATGACAATACATATGTGATATGAACCAAGAATTCAAGAACTGAAGCTAACCATGCTGGAAGCACAATGACAATGACACACTCATCTCATTTCGCGTTTGCGATTACAAGCGTTTGATCCCATCTCTGCGTTTAGCGGTTGTGGTTGCTTATGCATCTGCGATTCTGCAGACTTGTACAAGCAACAAAAGTTCTACCACAAGACCACACCCAAAGAGACGTGACTTGGTTTCAATGTATGATCAATGGAGATTGGTTTACATGAATAAAAAGATCCTTGAAAGATAAAAACCCAATCGGGGCAAATTATAAGAAGCTCTGACTTACCATAAGGACTACACTAATTTACAGACTGAATCTGAGTTCTTGGTTTTAAGTGGCATGTGGGCTTAATCTACTTCTTCTTTGATTTGGTAGACAATCATCGTGTGTAAGCCGTACCTGAGCAGTAAACAACTTTCTCGAGAAAAATATTGTAGAAAAATAAAATGCGGAAATAAAATAGGATAAATAGAAAGGAACAAAATTATTTTTATTGTTACATCTCTTCTTCTGGTTACATTACAATGAAAATGAAATACATATTTATAAGAAAATTAAGAAACATAGTGAAAAGGAAATATAGATACAATGGAAACAAATCAGATATACAATATTCGACATAATGATATTGTATCCATTATTATTCCCCATCATATATCAAATCTTATTTTACTCCCATCACATATTCATTTTTCCATTTTAACATTCCCCTCAAGATTGACTTTGAAAGAATGAAAAAGTCAATCTTGAATTGATAATACTATAAATCGCCCAAACATTTTCATTGTCTCTGGAAAAATTCATAAACACCAAATTTTGTTCTTTTAGAGAGCATTAACTATTTTCAAATCACTTCGCTTGACTTTAAAATTCTAGCTTTAACTCTTTTTGTCATAGCATCTTGCTTGATCTTAGAGTTTTTAACTTTGACTTTTGTTTGTCATAGCACATCGTTTGAATTTGGATTTTTACTCTCCTTTGAACGATTTGGATATATGAACATGCAAAACGCAAAAGAAAGAAGAGATTAGAAAAAAAAGAAACATATAGTCCAGATCGCAACCATACTCTGATACCATGTAGAAAAATAAAATGCGGAAATAAAATAAGACAAATAGAAAGGAACAAAATTACTTTTATTGTTACATCTCTTCTTCTTCTGGTTACATTACAATGAAAATGAAATACATATTTATAGGGAAATTAAGAAACAGAGTAAAAAGGAAATATAGATACGATGGAAACAAATCAGATATACAATATTCGACATAATGATATTGTATCCATTATTATTTCCCATCATATATCAAATCTATTTTACTCTCATCACATATTCATTTTTCCATTTTAACAAATATAAGCATCGGTCTTCTGGGTTTAAAGGAAATATTCCGAAAATGTGAATTATGTGGCTGGATTTATGAGTTTAACCTCCGGACAAGAGTATAGTTTATCATTAACAAGATGTTGAAGTTTTAAGACATGTAAGTGCAAGGTGCAAGCTACATACCTCAAGCCATCCGTCGAGTGAGACATCTTTAGTTTCAGTCCCGACCTCAACTTTCACAACTTTCTTATTTTTCTGAATCACAAACAACGGGTTACCATTAAGAAATACGAAGATCACAGCCAAATACTTGAGTTCGTAATGTCTTGTACCAAAAACCCGTCACCAGCATACGTTGGAGAAACGTTGTTTCACTTGTACATGGATAGATAGAAAAAGCAGAACAATAGTTGCAATAGTAAGACTACCAAGAAAGACCGACTCCATTCTCATGAAATCGCCAGGTCCAGCAACTTCGATGGTACCGTTATAAAAGATGTTTTCTGCTTCTCTCCAGCGTTTACCACTGCATAAAGCATACGACTTTTAGCATTAACAGGAAAATTTCTCAAAACCCTAATCGAAAGACAAGATCTTAGAGCATTAGATGCAAAATCACTATACATTTTGCAAAAACACAGATGGTTTCGACATCAGGGTCCGGGATCAGTTCCAAACCAAACACGACCGCTGAATCTCCTACTTCTTCACTGGCATCAGTAACTTCAGTGATAGAATTCTCCGTATCCCATTGGCACCAACCCCCTCTTCAGAGAGAGAGAGAGCGAGATTAAAATCACGAAGGGGAAGCTATAAGTGCCCATAATTTAACAGACGACTAAGCATCCAAAAGCTTCAAACTTTGGGCATTGAGTTCAATCAACAATTGACAACTCTCATATGAACAGAAATCAAATAAAAACACCGCACGACAAAAATAGGGTCTCAGAGCCTAGAAGATCCACAAACTGAACGTGGAAAAAGTCAAATCAGCAATGCACGACCAACAAGATCTAAAGTGGCGGCGAGATAGACGTATACAAATGGAGAAAGAGAGAAACTTGGAACCTTGGAGGCGAGGCGAGGAGGAGAAGAGCGAGGAATAAAACCCTAAAAAATTCGCCATGAACGCGCAGAGAAAGGAGCTGTGGAGTTGAGCTTATGTGGTCGAGTGTGACGGGGAAAGTGAATATGAAAGGTAATTCTCCGAGATATTCACAATAAAACGACGACGTTCTCGATAGGATCATCTTCAAAACGACGACGTCTCGAAGGATGTTTGTGCTGTGTATTATTATTATTATTTGAAATAAAACGAGTATCCTTTAAAATGCCGGATGAAGAATCATGTTAGAATAGCATATAATATAAACAAATCACGTTTACTATATAATGTAAGTATCCAATATTGGCCACAAGGACAATAATAATATATTTTCAATTGCATGAAAGCAATAAATAAAGAAATAATAATTAAAACGTACGAATCTGTAGTTTGGGAAAAGGAACAAACGAATCATTTGCCATCCGACCGTACACGTGGACAGCCACCGCAAAGATACTCTCTGACACGTCACTTGAAAATTGTCTTTTTTTCTTTTTTTTTCCGAGATAAAATAAATTATATATTTTTTATACTATTTAAAAAATAAAAGTGGAAAAAAAACATGCATGAGATGAATGAGATCTCCTGAATCTCTAACGTCACTGTGCTTCGTTGGTTTGATTCCGTCACAGTCAATATCTGGCCGTACACGTGGCCCCACCTTTCTTCTCTCTCTCCTTACTCGCTTCTTGTTCTTAAACACTCGACCTCCAGCTTCCAGGTTTGTAACCTCTCGTGCTTCTGCTTCTCGAGTGATCATCGCTGAGAGAGAGAGAGAGAGAGAGAGAGAGAGAGAGAGAGAGAGAGAGAGAGAGAGAGAGATTACTTGCTCTGAGGTTGGAATCATAGCGAGGCTCGTTGGGTTCGCCTTCTACGTCGCCGTCTCACTTGGATTTGGATGATCAGTTTTGGAGGTTCGTGATCTGTTTACGCTTTTGTTGTGATTTGAGCAGTTGCGCTTGATGGAGGTTTTGTTGATTTGTTTTCCTGGGTGGTGAAGTATTCTTTATGCTTGACTCGTATGAGATTTGTGTTTTGAGCCGAAATTGCTCTGTTTTTAGGTTTACAGGGAAAAAAAAAACAAAGCTCCTGTTTTTTTTTTGTAGCTTGGGGATTACGAGCTAAGCTGCGGTTTCATTGTGATGCTTTTGTTTTTGTTTTCTTTCCATTTTTTGTTGTCATTTACGAGGTTTCTCGTGAATGCGCTCTGTTTCATCGAATTCCTCGGTTTGAACGATTTCGAAAGTGGTAGCAGTTCTCTACAAGGAATGGTAACATCTGACAATTTTATGGATAACTTTGACGATTCTTCTATTATTTTCCATGAACTCTCTGAAAATGCCCATCTGAATCAGAATGAGATGCTTGCATCTGTTAACTAATGTGGATATGTTGCGGAAAATGGCGCTGATCCTTCTACGGAAATGCAGGGTATGATATTCAGACTGTGTGCTTATATATTTGGGTGAATCTGGAGCAATGTCGAATCTGAATGTTGACGTGAGTCAGAACGGGAGTGTGGCGAATGGTGATTCGTCATGTTCAGTGGATGAAATTGATGAAATTGATTTCTCAAAGTTACTAGAGAAGCCGAGACTTTTGAACATAGAAAGACTGAGGTCACTTGATGAAAGGTCGCTCACTGAATTATCTGCATCGTCGCCTCATCTAAGGAACACCGATAATGCTATACGGATTCTTGAGCATATAGACCTCGTATATTCACCGAGCATCGGCAGGAGGTCTGGGTTTAATACCCCTAGATCATATCATGGGTTTGAAGCTCATCCTATGGTGGGTGAAGCTTGGGATGCTCTAAGGCGTTCGTTGGTTCACTTTCGCGGGCAACCCGTCGGGACAATTGCTGCTCTGGATAGCTCGGAAGAAAAAGTCAACTACGATCAGGTGGAAATCATATTCTCTTTTAGAGGTTTGTTGTTGATTGATCTGAACTTTTGCCCGAATTTTCGTTCTTCAGGTGTTTGTGAGAGACTTTGTACCAAGTGCATTAGCTTTCCTTATGAACGGAGAGCCGGGGATCGTCAAAAATTTCATCTTGAAGACTCTTCGCCTTCAGTCATGGGAGAAAAAGATCGATAGGTTCCAGCTTGGCGAGGGAGTGATGCCAGCTAGCTTCAAAGTCTTCCATGACCCAGTCAGGAACCACGAGACACTGATTGCTGATTTTGGCGAGAGTGCAATTGGAAGAGTAGCGCCTGTGGATTCAGGATTCTGGTGGATTATACTGCTCCGAGCCTACACAAAGTCTACAGGAGACTCTTCTCTGGCCGACATGCCTGAATGCCAGAAGGGTATTCGGCTTATTCTAAGCTTGTGTCTTTCAGAAGGGTTTGATACATTTCCCACTCTTCTGTGTGCTGATGGTTGCTGCATGATTGATCGTAGGATGGTGAGAAAGCTTATCTTTATCACTAATGGGCAAGTTACCGGTCTGATGAGACGTTTTCTTCAGTTTCCTGTTCTTATCTATGTATTCTGTTTGTTCCTTCAGGGTGTTTATGGTTACCCTATCGAAATTCAAGCCCTTTTCTTTATGTCCTTAAGATGTGCCTTACTCCTGCTTAAGCAAGACGGTGAAGGGAAGGAAATGGTGGAACAGATAGTTAAGCGGCTTCATGCGTTGAGCTACCACATGAGGAGCTACTTTTGGCTGGACTTGAAGCAGCTAAATGACATATACCGATATAAGACAGAGGAGTACTCCCATACTGCGGTTAACAAGTTCAATGTCATGCCCGATTCTCTTCCGGAATGGGTTTTCGACTTCATGCCTCCTCATGGTGGTTATTTTATTGGAAACGTAAGTCCCGCTAGGATGGACTTTCGTTGGTTTGCATTGGGCAATTGCATCGCGATACTATCTTCCTTGGCTACTCCCGAACAGTCAACAGCGATTATGGATCTTATAGAATCTCGGTGGGAAGAGTTGGTGGGAGAAATGCCGCTTAAGGTTTGCTATCCAGCCATAGAAAGCCACGAATGGAGAATAGTAACAGGTTGTGACCCGAAAAACACCCGATGGAGCTACCACAATGGAGGATCTTGGCCAGGTAACTTTTTCTAATTCTCTTATCCATTCGCATTTTACAAAACACAACATCCTCCGTGTCAGTGCTCATCGAAATTTCTGGGTTTCGGGTATGGAAACTTAAGAACATGATTTTTGAATGGCACACAGTGCTTCTTTGGCTTCTGACGGCGGCTTGTATAAAAACTGGGAGGCCACAGATAGCGAGAAGAGCGATAGAAGTAGCGGAGCAAAGGCTGCATAAGGATAACTGGCCAGAGTACTATGACGGGAAGCTGGGCCGATACATAGGGAAACAGTCGAGGAAGCTCCAGACATGGTCCATAGCTGGTTACTTGGTGGCGAAGATGATGCTGGAAGATCCATCTCATGTCGGTATGGTTTCTCTTGAGGAAGACAAACAAATGAAACCCTTGATGAAGAGATCTAACTCCTGGACCTGTTGATTCCCCCCTTCTTCTTCATCATCGTCATTGAGACAACCACTTCACTTGTGACTGTGTTTTAAGGAGGCTTCATCTTTGCTTAAGGCCCAAGTTACTTGGAATTCTCCTGTTCATGCGTTTTATGCTGACTCTCGTTTCTAAAATGCTAAGGTGAGATTTCATTTCAAATGCTATTCTTATCGAAGTGTGAAGGTTTGAGGTCTATATATTTACGTAACTATCTTTCTCTATGTCGAAATGTCACCTTTATATCCAAAGTGAAGACTCAAGTGTCATAATATAAGACTCAACAGAAGAGGATGTTTTTCCTTAAGTTGCAAGTTAGGCTTTAGGCCTCAAAAGGAAACAACTTCAGAGACAGAACCAAATCCAACAAGTGTGTCTTTTTTTTTTCTGGGTTCAGACAGCGAGATTCCGAGCGAGGATCCCTTCAAAGGTAACACCTGGTCCGAAAGCAAGGATCAAACCCCATTCCTCACCCCTTTCGTCCTCATTCTTGGCCTTTCGACTCTCCTCCAACAGATACTCCAACACATACACAATGGAATTGCTACTTGCGTTGCCATAGTCCATGAGAGCTCGGCGGCTAGGGCTCAGCTTCTCGGGCGATAGATCTAACCGCTTCTCCATGCGGTTCAGTATCGCTGGTCCACCCGGGTGAACCGCCCAGAACATCTGGTTGTAGTCGTCTGGTGTTAACCCTGCTACTTTCATTAATTTGCTGCAGAAGTTTTCTACGTTGTCTTCTATTATCTGGGGAAGCTCCCTCGCTAGCTTGAAGTTTATTCCTTCTTCTGTTAGCCTCCCCACTATCGTCTTCTCCGTCTCTGCCAAGAAATCAGAAACCACCAAACTCCATTATATCTCCTCCCAGAAAAAAACGTTGTCAAGATTTATGCTCTTGTGAAAGTGAAGGTTGAGATTTTTCTTTCCTCTAAAGTGCCCAAATCTGCCCGAATCCGAAGACACGCAACTTTGTATATACATATCTACGTGTGTGGATAATTGGGTGCTTTACCGGGTAAGAAGTTCTGAATTGCTGTGTGAAGCTCAAACAGAGGCTTCTCATGAACCGGGTCCGGGTCAGATCCAATGATCATGGCTCCGGCTCCATCACCAAACAGAGCAACCCCTACAAGGTCGTATGGTCTCTCTGCGCTCGGTGGCTTGAACCCAATGATCGTTGTCTCAGCCGTTGCCAAAAGAACTCTGCTTCCAGGATTGTTCTCGGCGATGTCTTTAGCCACACGGAGACCCGCGACCCCGCCCGAGCAGCCTATGAAGTAGAGCAAGACACGGTGTGTGTCAGGGCTCAGGCCAAGCCCTTTGGCCAAGTACAGGTCGCCTCCGGGAAGACGAGCTTCGCTGGATGAGACGTAGACAACATGAGTTATGTCAGAAGCCGGTCTCCCCCAGTTATTGATGCAGGTTCTTGAAGCTTCCACTGCCATTTCCGTCACAGCATCGTTGCAGATGTCGAGACGCTGCTTCACGGTGGGTTGGCCTTCGATAGTGAGTTCTGGATACTTCCTAAGGATCTCCTCTGACATCACGACATACCTTGTCTTCACGGTCGTTGTCTTGCCTGTATCGTTTGGTCAGGAAAACAATGATTAAAATACTTTTCAGATAAACTTGCCGTAAGTTTGGGATTCGGGATTTGAAGGCAGAGAAGGAAGAGAAGACATTACAGAGACGTGCAAGCTTCTGTTTGAGTTCAGGGTCATCACAGTTTGTGGTCTTGAAGTAGCCATCGACCAAATATTCCTGCATCACGAGCTGGTGAGGGAATGCCTTTCCAAGAGCCAAGATAGTTGCTTTCCCTGGGCTTGCTTTCTTCCCTGAACCCATCTCTGCGACGTCGATGCTTCCCATTTCTCTCTTCTTATCTCTCGAAAAATGATGTTTAATCGCTGCAAAAAGTTAACAGTTTCGATTTCAGATTTGTAAAGGATACACGTGAAGGTGTACATATATACACACACACTGCATAAAGCAAGCTTGACGTTGTAGTTTATTATATGCAAGATCATGTAGGTGTCTGCCTAGTGAGTGTCTGGTGAAGGTTAGGTTTGAGGTCAAAGGTTCATGTTCATTCCATTTGTTTTACATACAAAAATAAGGATGATACATATTCTTGGGATGTCCCAAAGCTAACATATATCTGCCTGACAACACAAGGTTCTGTGGTATAATTTTTATGCCAAAATCAAGATCAAAGATGTGAAATTTGACAAGAAAAGAATAGCTTCTATAGAGAAAAAGTCCAAGCAAATCGAAGATGTCCAAAATCATGGCTGATACTAAGTAAAATCAATATCCATCTTCGAATATGAGATTGTTTTTGTTCGGAAAACAAAAGCTCCAAGAGGTGAAGGTTGATGAGAAGTTCTTTGCATACCCGTGACTTAGGAGGACCAGGGAAGATATATTCGATTCTATTGCTTGATATAGAGTTGTGCTGGAAATAAGAGCCCAGGGGTCTATCGTTTCCTGGATAATGCTCGTGCCCTACAGCAGAGAAACTCCTAAATACATGATTTCAATCGAGGAAGAGATAGAAAACTGAGAAAATCATGAACAGTTTGTAACATTGCGGATGGAAAAGTCTGCCTCGGCCCTCAGCCTTGTCATGCCTCTGCCTATGCTTACTCTGTTTACGCCCCTTAAATCATTTCTCGCTTCTATGCCTTAGGCACATAAGTGAACCTTATGAATGATTTATCACTATGGACCTAGAGATTGAAATTTAAGGAAAGGGGAAGGTTAGGATGTGTAACCTGTCAGAGGTCTAAGAGGCATTTTGGGTGACTGACTACTTGAGTTTAGCGGTAACCGCAGCAAGTATTCCTTCATGGTTGATTTATCACTGTCCACTATATCTGTTACAGCTGTTATAAAGATTGCAGGCACCTTGAAAAGGTTGCCCGCGTGTGCCATTGCCTCTCCCTGGATGCCAAATTTTTGAGAAATAGTCGTTAACTGGTCCAGATACAAAGGAAAGGCGTATTTCGGGGCAGGCTTTGCTATGGTCAGAGATTATTGAGGAGTTCCACGAATTAGAAAGCTGTCATGAACAAAGCAAACTTGGAGGAGTAATGTTTTTACCTCCACCATGTCTTTAACTGTAGCATCTTTTGCTGTGATGAATTCTTTCCTGGACAAGCAACATTGATGTACAAGTCTTCATACGTTCCATTCCATGGAACCGAATCCAAGGCATTCCTCTCGGAAACCTGCAATGCCATAGTCAGACTGGACCAAAAGCAATTAAACCAGGCAGTATAAATTCAAAACATACAAACTGTAATGAAGCAAGCATCGCATTCATACTCCAAGGTACAAGCTTGTCATGATCAACACAAGCTTTTCCGGAACTAATCGAACTCACGGTGGATTATCATCTTCAATCAGCTCAAATCTTTTGAAAGAGGCAAATCTTCCGCCGGCAGAGGTGCAAACCCATTTAAAAAGCTCCCACAAACTACGATGCGAGAGCACTTAGGGAGACAGAGATGGAGAGCAAGAGAGAAGCGAGGAAATAATACCAACGATGGCGATGGGCTGCTTCCCGGACTGAGACATTACAGCTTCCATGGCGGCGTCTGATAATGCATCGATTCGCAAATGAGGAGCCATGGCGATTCGTCTCCTTCGCTAACGGATCAAATTTTCGCAGGAAGCTTGAAACCTGAAAGTTGAAACGGGCGAGAAAGTGGGAAAACATGGTGGTTCTTTAATGGGCCCACTGTATATGGGCCGAGTACACTCTCATTTCGGCCCATGGGTCAACTTTACAAATATATGCGTGTATATGGCGCACGAAATTTCTGATTTGTTTTTTTTTTATTTCGAAGAAAAATGAATTTTTATGTAAGTTAAATATTATCTTATTTTGTAGAATTTTCCCATAAATTTCAGTTTATATGTGAAAATTGTAGAATTTGGGAAACATTAGAGAGAACTTAAAAAGCGGTGTGACCGTTTGAGCCACGTCAGCACTTTGTCCACAAACCAAAGCGAATAATAACAGTCTCTCCATTCATTCGTTCTCCATCATCTCATATCCTCACTCTCTCATCTTTCCCTTTATCCACAATCTCTCTCTCTACTTCTTGCGCTTCCATGGAAACTGGCTTCATCTCCGTCAGATCCTCCGAAACCCTAACCCTAGCTGCTTTCTCTCCGGCGATTCTTCCGGCGGCCAGTTTTCGGTCCAGCCGTCGCGAATTCCTCGGACGCTGCCACAGTCTACGGCCGCCCGGTGGTTTTCATCTTCGGACACGCGCCAGAATTAGGAAATCCGGTTGGAATCCGACTCGATCGCCTCCCTTTGTCGTCAGAGCTTCTCTGGACACGGGTTTGATCCTTGTTGTTGTCGCTGTCACCGCATTTTCTGCCGCCGCCTTTGCTTACTGTCAACGGGGTTACAGAAAGCGGAAGAATTCGAGCGAGGTAAGCGATGTGCTGAATCATCTTTCTGTCTTTTCTTTGGCAATTCAATTCTCTAACTTTCATCATTTCACAAGTCATGAGAATTGTCTGATTACTAGCTTTTAGCGTCGTGCTCAAGTTTGTGGTCACGATAAAGTAAAAAACTGTTCAAATACTAATTTTGGTTGTAATTCGAGTAGAAATCTAATATCTTGCGCAATGTTCAGGTATCAGCATCTCCCGATGCGACAATCCATGGTGGCATTACTGAGGAACAGCTGGAAATTGAACTTTCAGATGGTGGCGATATTCAAAAGGGGATCCCAGTGGAAACGAATGGAGTTCTGGATGCGAAGATAGATAATTTGGAAGAGAAGTTGGATCAAATCCCGGAACACGCCGCAATGCAGGATGATTCAGTTCTGACCAAACCCTCGGATTCAACGCCTGATAATTCTCATTTTACTGTCTCCAGTGTCGTTATGATTGCAAATGAACATAACAATGTAGATCAACCCATTGCGGCTTCTACACTTAGTGGGTCTGTTGCTTTACAATCGGTTCTGGGTGGGGAAAAAGATGCTGAAAATCAAGTTGAGACCAATGAACAGAAAATGAGTTTGGACTTCGATTTATCAAAGGAAATGGTGGGAACTCATTCAATTGCTTCTCCGCTTATGGTAGAAGACTCTAAGGCTGTAGAGCATGAGCACAATGATTTGCCCCAGAAGCCCTTTGCATACAACATCCCCCTTGAGTCCCCGAGAAAAGAGCTTCATGCGTTTTATGGGCCTACTCTTTCAGTGGCCGAGTCTCCAAGTGTGACCAGTCTTAAAGCAGTCTCTCCTTCTTTTGTTTCTTCTTCAACTGAGATTTCCTCGCCGCATCATAATGTCCTTGGAATGATGGATGTTCAGGTATCAGGACAGAGTTCCGTCGAGTCTGCAGGTATTTTGTTGAAGTGATATTTGCTTTGACCTTCTTAAACTGTGTTAGGTTTGAAATGATTCCTAGCTCCTCCTTCTCAGAAGCTTGCAATGCCAATTCATTACAATGATTCTGTTGAAGCTACTTTCTAGTTTCAGGTGGAGAAAAAATACCTGTGGAACATGGTAAAGGAGCTTCAGTCCACAAAAAGACAGAAGTGAGAAGAGATAGGAGATTTCAGAGACATGATGATGCAAGGCATGTGGTTAACCAAACTGATAAAAGTACACCACGGTTCCCCAACCGAAATGGTGCGCTGACTAATGGTAATAGCCATCCTCAGAGAACTCTTGACGCTTACAACCGTTTACTAAGAGAAGGGAGGTTAGTATTGTCCTTTGGTTTAAAAAAGACACCTAATTTGTCTGTCATGTTCATGCTCATAAGGTTAAACAGACTGAGTTTATTTGAATAGTTTTAAGTACCGAAGAGAAATACATAAATTCTACCTGAGAATGTAATATCCATATGCAAATCTCTAGGCTGAAGGAATGCATAAGTTTGCTCGAAGATTGGGAACAAAAGGATCTATTGGACATGGATAAGGTAGGGCTGTTCTCATTAGCTGTATGGAATTTAAGTTCTCGATAAGTTCTCATAAGGTAGGGCTACTCTCATCCTTTTTCGGTGCTCTTCTTTTTGCCCATTGCCTCTTATCAGATTCATCATGCGAGCTTCTTTAAAATCTGCAAGAAGAAAAAGGCTGCGAAGGAAGCATTTCGCTTTATAAAGCTGGTTCCAAACCCCACGTTGAGCACATTTAATATGTTAATGTCTGTGTGCTCAAGTTCTCAGGACATCAAAGGTGATAGTGTTTCTTATCCTTAAAAACCAATTACTTAACCTTGTTATTTGTCATTCTCCTAAATTTTGAATTTCTAATTTTGTTTATGCATGTAGGCGCTCGTGAAGTTTTGCAACTTGTACAGGAGAGTGGAATGATAGCTGATTGTAAACTTTACACAACTTTGATATCGACCTGTGCGAAAAGTGGAAAAGTTGATGCAATGTTTGAGGTACAACACTTCATCTACTGGAATATTCTTTGAATTTGAACTCAAATCCGTTTCATCTTTGAGTTTGGAACTGAACGAGGTAACCATTAGTGAACTTGATGTTTTTTGTTGGAGCCTTTTACCTGTGAGAAAATGCATACATCCAATCAAAGTTGAAAGTCATTTGGGTAATGTTCTGAAGCATTTCACTCCACTATTCACTTAGTCATTCTCTGTGTTAAAACTTTTTCAAAACCAAGATATCACATTATCTGGATGTTTAATGCTGATCCAAAGGTCACTATATCAGACAGATTTAGACATTCTATATTTGGTGTCCTCGATAGGAAAGGGACCTGTGTAATCATTGTGAATGTCTATTGTAAACTTCTGAGTATCTATGTCGTTATATCCTCAGGTGTTCCACCAGATGGCAAATTCTGGAGTGGAACCCAACCTTCACACCTTTGGGGCACTTATTGATGGCTGTGCTAGAGCTGGGCAAGTAGCCAAGGCATTTGGCGCTTATGGAATACTAAGGTCTAAGGTATGCTTGTTAAGAAGTCATTTCCTCCTATCATTTTCTTTAAAATACTTGTTTTTTTTTTCTATTGCTACAAACAAAAAATATCTAGGTTCTTGCTTCATGTTCTTGACCGTTTCTGTTTTTGGATTCTCAAGAAAATCAATATATTGATGACTTGCTCGACGCAGTAGGATGTTCAGCCAGACCGGGTTGTATTCAATGCCCTCATCTCTGCCTGTGGTAAAGCAGGAGCTGTCGACCGTGCTTTTGATGTGTTAGCAGAAATGCAGACTGAGTCGCACCCGATAGATCCTGATCACGTCACGATCGGTGCATTGATGACGGCCTGCTTTAATTCTGGTCAGGTGTGTGGTTTTCTCTTCATATTCCTTTTCTACTACTTTCTATTTGATGGAGAATAATATGTTTATTGCAGGTTGAACGGGCTAAAGAAGTGTACAAGATGATGCATGAATATGGAATCAGGGGTACTCCTGAAGTCTACACCATTGCTGTGAATAGTTGTAGCAAGTCTGGAGACTGGGAGTTTGCCTGTAACATATACAATGACATGAAAGAAAAAGGTGTGACCCCTGATGAGGTATGTCTGTCTTGTTTTCCATTTAACGTTTGATATTCCAGATTTTCATGAGTCATGAACTTGTTGTGAGACTTTCTATGTAGATGTATTCAGTTTGTGTAGATTCATTTTAATGTTTATAAGACGAGTGCCTGTTGAATCCCGAAGAAGGGACTGATCAGGCTATTGCTGTTTTCAAGCGCAGGGATATGAAAGTGCGTCTGAGGTGATATTGCTTATGATCTATATTTCTTGACCTAGTGCAGGTGTTTTTCAGTGCATTGATTGATGTTGCTGGTCATGCGGGAATGTTGGACAATGCTTTTGATGTCCTTCAGGATGCGAGGTCTCAAGGAATTCGTGTTGGAAGTATATCATATAGCTCGCTTATGGGAGCGTGTTGCAATGTATGTACTTTCTATTTCTGTGGTTGTTTTGATACTTTGACTGTTGTTTGTCAGTTTTAAGCCGTCATTTGTTAATGAGCATTAAATCCGAGTGATTTGGAGCGCTGGAATAAGGAAATTGGTTATGAGGTTGAAATTGATTTCTAAAATTGGACATGAAGGATAAAAAACTCTTTAACTATACTGTTGAGCAGGATTTAGAAAAGAGTAGCTACAATTGCATTGACATTCTTGGATTAATCCTTTTGCATGAAATCTATGGTGCTTCGGAAAATTGCATTGGGTTGATAATTTGTTTTCCTCTTTTCCGATTTAGGCCAAGAATTGGCAGAAAGCATTGGAGCTGTATGAAAAGATCAAGTCAATCAAACTTAGACCTACAGTTTCAACAATGAATGCTCTGATAACTGCCTTGTGTAAGTCCTCATACGCTATTATTATAATCTTATTTCCTGTATAATGAAATAAATCACAATAATTAGTAGAGGTTTACCTCATTAGTAGTTCTGAGGGAGATGTGCGATGCTTGGTCTGATAAACTTGGAAGTCTTGAAATTTCAACAACGGATGCAGTTCCTACAAACAACGAAATTGTTGTTTGTTAAAACTTTTTGGAAATTTCTGGTCTGAAACATCTAACACTACAATACAAAATATTTCCAAACAACGAGCTCCGTCTATATACATACGGTAATGAATAATGATATGTCAAATGACCTTGCACGGTATTTTTACTAGCATGACACTCTGGATTAAAAACAGGTGATGGTGATCAGTTGCCTAAGGCTTTGGAGATTCTTGATGAGATAAAGGGTTTAGATTTAACACCAAACACCGTCACTTACTCAATGCTCATGCTGGCAAGTGAAAGGTATTTGCTTTGAGTAGAATTATTTTTGTTTTGTTTGATCGGTAATTAGTGCTGATCAGTAGTTAATTGTGATGTGCTTCTTCCATGTGTAGAAAGGATGACTTAGAAGTAAGTTTCATGCTCCTTTCTCGTGCGAAAGAAGATGGAGTCTCACCAAACCTTATCATGTGTAGATCCATAACCAGTAAGCTTTTGCGTTGGCTTTGAAATGTTTTCATATTGGTTCCTCTTACATAGATATTCAGTTTGAGTAGCACGGAATGTCGACAAAAAATCTCTACTTTTTATTAGATGTTATTTCACCACACACTTGTGGGAGGTTCCAAAAGTGACAATCTACTTATCGTTTAATTGATGAACAAACCCAACAGCCAAAAAGAAAAATTAAAAATGATATGTGGGTGTTCAATTGCTCTATGTTCTTTTCATCTTTGGAATTCATCAGAAATTACTGAGAACTGTTTTTTTTCCTTTTTATTATTTTTTTTGTGGTTTGCAGAATTACTTATGGATTTGGGTCATTGGGTGTCTATTATGCACTCTTGCCTTGATCTAGTGTACAGAAGCATTGTCGCATAAATTTAATTATCAAATATCTTACTCATTTTATTCTACGCAGGCATGTGTGTGCGGAGATTTGAGAAGGCTTCTTCTACTGGTGAACCAGTTCTGTCTTTCAAATCAGGGCGGCCTCAGATTGAAAATAACTGGTAAGTGTATAGTCCTTGGATTTTTCAAAAACTAATCTTGTTCTGTTCTTCTTGTGTTGGAAGAAGCCAATAAAATATTTCTGATGCTTTCTGGCTAAACCATTTCAGCAATTTCCTTGTAATTTGAATCTGATCCTTATGGTTCCGTGCTGGATTGCTCTCTTCTCTGTGATAAAGGCCATTACTTTTAGAAAGAACTTCTGTTACGATTGATAATTCCCGTTTTTCTTTCAGGACATCAATGGCCTTAATGGTTTATCGTGAGACGATTTTAAGTGGGATAGTACCTACTGCTGGAGTAGTTTCACAAGTTTTGGGATGCTTGAGAATTCCACATGATACTTCTTTGAGGGATAGGCTAATTGAGAACCTAGGATTAAGCACTTCTTCACAAAGACAGCATAACCTTTTCTCACTAGTCGATGGATTTGGAGAGTATGATCCTCGTGCTTTTTCATTACTCGAGGTGTGTTGGTAGCTTCAATTATATCTACTTTTTTAGGGGGTTCCATCAGGTGTGCAGTGGCTATATGACCATGATGTTTAAATTTTATGCAGGAGGCTACTTCTCTTGGAGTTCTTCCATCTGTTTCCTTCAATAAAGTTCCTATTCTTTTTGACTCGACAGAATTGTCAAAAAATATTGCTGAGGTGAGTTTTTCTGTGGCCTTGTTACACTTCTTTTTTCTGGTATAATTACATTTGTGCATATGGAAATGGAAGTTCCCTCGTTGAAATTTTCTGGCGCCAGATTTTTTTCTTTTGCTCACACCAATCATATATAGCCAGGCTTTACAAATTTTCTTGGTTGCATGTAAAGTAAAATTATTGGTGAACCTCTCTGTGCGCATCTCTTCTGAATCGCTTTTTGATCTTACTGCATGAATAATTGGCAGGTTTACCTCTTGACTATCTTGAAAGGTCTTAAGCATCGCCTTGCTGCTGGTAATAAATCTCTTTCCGAGCACCATTGCTCGTTTTCTGGATTTATCTTATGACCTTGTTGTTTTAACTTCCGAGCTACCAATTACAATTGGTTTTATAATCGTATTATCAGACATTTAGTTTCTTCTTTTCGGCTCTTGTTAGCTTCAGTATCTACGGTTAACATCAGCTTTAGGACATATACTACTTCAGAGGTGTGTGGGGGTAACTTTGGTGAATGTCTAAACTGATGGTTAGATGTTGAAGTGTAGCTGAAGGATGAAACTGCAAATTCAACAGTAACGTGTGCATATTTTAGCCGGTTAAATATATCTCGACACTGAATGCGTGTGTGTGTTTCAGATGCAAAGCTACCTCATGTTACCGTGATCATATCCATGGAAGAGAAGCAAATTGTGACTCCTGAAGGAGAGAAGACAACCTACCTCGTAGGAAGGTGAATGAGAGAGCTTTCCATTCGCTTTATATCCCCATGTTGTTTTTGGTAAATCCAATTACGGGTTTCTTTTGTCAGTCACAGCTGCTTCTAAGAATGATCTCTTTCCCATGGTTCGACAGAGCTGGTCAGGAGATTGTTGCGATATTGAGACGGTTAGGGATATCTCATAACAGGAAAGACTCATCTGGGAAAATCAGAATCAGTGGTGCCTCCTTGAAAAAATGGTTCCAACCGAAGCTGGCTTCCCCTTTCATCGGGCAACCGGGAGACTTGAAATCATCCCAAGTACGATTGGGAAACCAAATATTCCATCAGCAACGCAGTATTCGAACCGGGAACCTGTCACTCGAGTGAGGGGAGAAGCCCTTTCTCTTCCCCGAGAAATGTCTTGAAAGATTAGCTCAATCTTACTTCTCTGGTAGCAACTCATGCGGTCGAGGCAGGAGGATGAACAACAGAAGATTCTTGTTTTCATCAAATTTCAGCATAATTCTACTTCTGTGCAGAGAGAGAGCGTCATATGCCATGGAGGAACAATCTAACTCATAAGATCAAGTATGTTTCTGTATACGACGTCGCAGTTCTTTTCGCATTCATCTTAACTTGAGAAAAATAATGGTTTGTAATTGAATGAATGGATCATTGTAAAATGTTCATCAAAGGTGACTTGTCTGATTTCTAACCGCGCCGGGCCCGCGGAGAAGAGAGAGCTGTAGAAGCCATATTGGGAGGTAAGTTATGCAACTTCCCTTTATATGTATATATATATATATATATATGTGTGTGTGTGTTTGAAGGCGATGATATGAGCAAAGATTCCTGTATGTAATATACATATACATAATAAGTAAATACAAGTAAGCGTATCATAACGTTATAAATTATTTGGTCTATGATACAAGTAAGCGTATCATAAATAAATATTATGGAAGAAATAATGGCCATGCATGCATGTGACGTTCCACATGATTCAAAGGTCACGACTTTATTAATCAATTCTCAACACCACCTTTCCTTTCGAATCCGTAGTCTGGTGGGACAATGTCAGGTCTTTTTGAATCGTGATTGGCAAGTGGAAGTGAAACAAATATTCCGTGAAGCAAACTCAGTTGCAGACCAGTTGGCTAAAGCAGCAATAGATATTGCCAGAGGTCTTCATATTATTAGCAACCCTCCTACTCGAATCTGTAATCTTCTACAGACAGATTCAATAGGAGTTGTGTGGCCGAGACTCATCTCATAAGGGTTAAACCCCTCCGTTTGAAGGAAAAAAAAAATATTTAGATGCATTTATTTCTTATATGATTTTGTTAGGAAAATGGATTAAGCCTTCCAAATTGAATACTTTGACTTTTACGATGCCAATGCCATATTGCACACTATTTTATTTATTTTATATATACATATATATATATATATATACATAAATTCCAGTGAATACTCTGACTTGTGGGTTTTTTTTTTCCTTAGTTTTCTATCATTTTTCTTTGGGCCGTCACAAAAGCATTGCAAGTTTGCAACAAACTACTGTTTTGACCAAAAATTATTATATTTCTCCATGGAAAAACAAAGAAAGAGATCAAAATGGTACATTCTGAAGAAAGTCATGATCTTCTTCATACCACATAACTGGAATTTATGCCTAAACTACACTATACATTGTCCACCAGACCCCGTAATTAAAAAGACACAGAAGTAGGAACAAACAAAAAGAAGAAAGAAACCCTAAATTGTTCTTCTCAAGAGTCAATTTTCAATGCAAAGGAGAAGCGATGAGATCAAGAAAGGCTTCTTCTCTGCAAGGGATGGTCAAACCACCCGTCGGATGATCGAATCCGAACTCTTCTTCGGCTCTGTTGAGGAATTCTCTGAACGAAGGATGATTCAGGTACGATATCGGTACCACGAATCTCTTCTTCTCCACCTTTTCTCCGACATACACTGCCACATGCCCCTTTGGGACATGATCCGATGATGATGATGATGATGACTTGTTTCTGTTCACGAACGAGTTCAACCTCGATATTTGCTTTGTCGCATTTGGAATCGCGAATCGGATAAGACCCATCTCTTGGATTTCGTTTTTCTTTTGAGTTAGGAAAGTGTTCGACGGAATGCTTCAAAGGAGAGATTTTGATTAGAAGCTCCCTCTTCTTGCCCTTTATTTATACTGTTTCAGACCACGAGAAGAACAGAAGCTGCTGATGTAACAAAAAGATTAAAAAATTAAGCTTTTGATGATTTGAGTTAGTGGATCGAGATTGGCTGCTCTGTTTTCGTTTGATCCCGTTCATCAACATGCACCACCCACATGGCTTACCTCATCCAGTTTCAAGAATCTTCTGTTTTTCTTACAATTAAAAAAAAAAACATCACGAAACGGCATTAAAGAGTCCTCGTTTTTTGTGCAGTGCATGCATCAACCAAATTCTCGCACATCATATAAATATAATATGGGCTTCACCATATTTTATATAATTTTAATTACTGCATTTTTTACAGTATGATATGAATGCAGAAGGACCCTTGCAAGCAAGTGGGCAAAAGATTTTTTTTTTTATTTAAGATAAGTAGTAACAACTTGTCATTCTGATTCATATGAACATGAAGCAAATATCAGTTTCTTCAATGAACATTTCATCTCACTCGCTTCAATGATTATCCATTTCCATGGTTAGGTTTTTTAGGTAACTAAATGAACCGTTGTTCCTCGCATGCAGATATGATGAAATATATTATCATCAACAAGTTGTGTGCGTTTTTTTTATTTGTTAGAGAGTATTATATCATGATGACTTTGAGAAAGAATATAGTAAATAATGTCATGAAAATCTTAGGGGAAAATACTAAATATATGAATTAACAAATACCCACTTGTTAAATCAAATCCAAATAGAGAATCGAATGCGCAGCATGGTACAATCATTGTTGTTGTCCGATCCATTTCGAGAAGAATCCGCCGTATAGTTTCAATTTTGTGAGCATGTGCTATGAAATTATGGGAAATGTGATTATTGGCTCATATAGTTGCTTATTTGACTTTGTGGATACGCATTAATAGTTGTATAATCACTGAGAAATCACATGGATCTGATCACCTAACACTGATTTTTTATTCTATAATTGGATCTAATCACATGCGAATTTCTGGTTAATGTATGATATTTTTTGGGATATATTCTTTTACGTACCCTTTATCGTATGCCACATGCATGGGTGATGGGTGATCCAATTCAGGTTGTTTTTTTTTTAATCATGGTTTGTGTTTTGCGTTTATTTTGTTCGGAAAAAAAAAATCAAGTCTATATAACACTATATTTAATTCGGGTTTCAACCAAATGATCTGACAACGTTAGAAATAATAGCAATGATCATTTATTTTAGTTTTAATATAAATTCCAATTTAGTATAGTGTGAGATTAAATCGAACTAAATTCGACCAAGTTTTTTTTTCTAACTTATGAAATGGGTGCTAATGCTTTTTGGATTTAGTTTGCTACTTAGGGTCCAAAGTTTAATGTATACATGTTGATAAGCCCTCACTGATTTTCTTCAGTCTTTTCAAAATATTTTGTTGTATGGTTAGAGGCACTATATATAGTAACATCACAAAAAAAAAATTAAAATATCATTGGAACGTATGACAAATATCGGATCATACAGTTCTCAAGACTCTAATCGAAAACGTCAAAGCTAAAACAGAAATTAAACCCTAACTAAAAATTAATGGGCCGTCGATCTGCTTAATTAGTTTAAGCGGGAAGCGATGAGATCAAGAAACGTTTCTTCTTTGCAGGGGATCGTCAGAACGCCCATGTGGTGATTGAAGCCGAACTCTTCCTCGGCTCTTTCAAGAAACTCTCCGAACGAAGGATGGTTGATGCACGATATCGGAACCACGAATCTCTTCTTCTCCGTCTGCTCTCCCACGTACACAGGAACATGACCCTTTGGCACATGATGACGATGACGATCTGATGATGATGATGATGATGGTGAGCGGTTTCGGTTCATTAGAGAATGTGGTTTGAAGATTTGCTTCGCATTGGGGATAATGGACCGCATCAAACCCATCTTGTTGGTTTTCCCTTGGGGTTGAGTGCAAGAACAAGTAGTGAAATAAAGTACAGAAGAGCGTAATGTTTCAACTTCTTTTTTAAAAAATCACTTGGGGTTAGTAGATTTATAATTTCGAGGGAAGTGATTTGGGGAGACAAAGGAGATGATGGAGATGTCTCTATTTATAGCCTTTGTATTCACAGTCAATGGGGGAAATATTCAACAACGGGAAACACTATGAAGTCAATATCTTTTTTCATGTTTTTTTTTTTGGTAAAAGATCCTTTTTCATGGTTTTTTTTTTGGGTAAAAGATCTTTTTTCATGTTTTACTAATAAACCCAAAAAATTGCGGACTTGTTGCAGCTACATACATACATACATACATACATACATACATACATACATACATACATACATACATGGAGGTGCTTTAAATGGTAGCATCGAAGTTGTAAAACAATGAGATGGGGCCATGCCAAGTGGAGTGTTGTACGTACGTAATGTCAGTTGCAAGTATCTTCAAAACTATGGGTCGTACTCTCTCTGACATTGCCAATAAATAGAAACGGTTTTTTTTTTCTACATTAACAAGAAATAGAACCTAGAATTTTAGACTATGACGAAGAAAAAAAAAGTGGGATTAAGTTTCGGGTTATAGCCCTTTTCATGTTTATTGGAATTTATAATATTATTAGGGGTATTCGTTTTTTTAAAACTATATATTTTGATATGCCTAAATTTAATATATATAATCATTTGAATATGGTTGTACATCACGAATACATGTGGAGCAGCAAATTTCCCATGGAGGAGAGATTCATTTATTAATTCTCTTTAGGTGGATGGCTTGCATATATTATATATGTAGCTAAAATATTTGTATTTATGTGGATGACATCATGACTATATATTAAAACTAACTCATTTCCCTATGTTTCACCGACTCTGCTCTCTTTTTAAATTTTTTTTTTGTAATGCATGGTATTCACTCACTTAACACTATATAATATCTCAAACAACGAATCCTAATTCATATGCAGATTATGCAAAACTTTGTTTCGACATATTTAGCAACATTTGAAAAAAATACAATTCTATTTACAAACTACAATAATATTGAAGCTAAGTTCTCGTAAGGGTAAGAAGTTAGCTTCCATGTATATATGTTGCCGTCGTCAACAACCGTCGTCCCCAACAATATATATATATAAAACGCTCCAAAACTACAATTCTATTTAAATATTTTTGGTTGTAAATAATGTATATGTTCCATTAAAAACTACAAGTGGGACACAATATCTTGGACCACTTGGTCACAATTCTTAGATATGAGTAGAGTATATTTGCAACAACCAACAAAGACCGTTCTCTCTTATGGTCATATCATATCATAACTAAGATCCCACGTGTATATAAATTATTATAAATTGAACCAGCTATGATATTCGGGCTTAAAGCCCAAAATCTTAATTGGGCTTTTTGTGGTTTAGTTTAGGCCTGAAATCACTGAAGCCCAAAGCACACATATAAACCCATTAATCTTAACAATGTGAAAGCCCATAAACAAGTTTCTGATTAGTTTTCACCGGAAATGAGAATCAAACACTCGTTTCTCTCTCCCTCCCTCTCTATACTTCTCCGTCGGTCCTCAAACCCTAACTCAGGTTTCAAGGACAGAAGTTTCCGGCGAAACTCCGACGAATATTCTGAACTAAAGGTAAACTCTCGATCTTTCCCCTTTGTTTTGGTCAGATTTCTGTTGGTCTTTGAACGAAGAACCATCTACGAAACACACTCATATACCAAAATACACAGATGATTACGATTTCGGAAGAACCGATATGATCCTAGATATCGGTATATTTCCTAGATTCGGGAACCCTAATCGTTGTGATCCACTATGCCCTATCTCGATTGTGCGATCATTTTCATGTCCGAGGAAAAAACCCTAACAGAGGAGTTCTTCTAGAAAACCCAAATAGCCAAAGTGCTTCTTCTGCTGCAATGGGATTGCATCACTCGAAAGCCTTATTACTTCGAATCTAGATTTTGAGAATTGATTTATGATCTTGAATCGCTTAGTAGCACAAGAGGTTTCTAGAACGGTGATGAGAAGCAATGGTCAGCAGCACGCTAGAGGATATTGATCATATATAATGGATATATATAATTTTCTCGTCGCTTTTGTTTTCAATCTTTTTTTTTTAAATGAAATATTATAAACTAAGATAAAACATTGCTAAAAAATTAAACAGATTAAAGACGATACACTATTTGATATCATCTACATTATAAATTAAAATTTCAGGTTTTGAATACTCCAAGTAAATGCGTGCTGTTATTTCATGAAACTCGCCATTACCACCGGAGCACAAACGTACGGTATAATATGAAAAATATATATCTATAATTAGTATAGGATTCTATAATATGTTAATGGAGGGTTTATCTAGTCAGTCCATCCGAAAGATAACAACTAGGTTTCCCGCCATATAAAAAAAAACTAAAACACAAAACCCTAAATGATCATAGTAGATTTTATTAATACAAAACGACAAAATATTATACAATTATTTAACTGTAGTTAGTGCAGGTAATGCACTAGTTATTTCTTTCTTTTTCTTTCAAAAAATTTTAAAGGTGCAGGTTTAATATCTAAACCGATATTTGGAATGTGATTTCTTTGAAGAGTAGAAGAATTAGTACTTTTACCAAATCACAAATTATAATGCTATTCAAAACGCAAAATTAAAATATTAACAGAAAAAAAAAGTAATACGACAAATTAACGCTCTACTTAAAACGATGATTATTTCTTATTTAGAAACGACAAATTTACACTTTCTAAACACGACAAACTATCGCTTTTTAAAACGACAATTTAGCACTTTTTAACGAACATTTCTATTTTTTTAGTATCGAAATCGATACATGATATGAGTTTAAAATTGAAAACTTGTTTAATTAAGTTATGAAAAAAGGTTCTACATAGAAGTAATATATAACAAACTTCTGATAGGTGAGATAATTCAAATCTTTATGTGTTATAAAAGGTACCAAAGATTTTCTTTGACGATGACATTATCAGAGATGTATAGTATTTTTCTTTAATGCAAGAAGTATAAAATGAAACATATAATATAAGCTATAATGCAGTGCAACTTATTTTCATTGGAAGGTTATTTATAAATTATAATAACCGAAATATATCTAGTATCTACACCAAAAGAAGTTATAAGATTCCTTAATATACATCCACTTAATAATCCCCCGTTTTAATAAGTAATTTATTTTAGATTCATATCTGCACATGGAGCAATCTTGAGTTTATTTCGTGGAAGGCCTCCTCTTTTGGTCACTACTATGTAGTTCCTATTTTCTCATTTTTTTTATTTAATTTCCGGAGGTAACCTCCCTTGTCAGACTTTTTTTTTTGTATTTTTTTCTAGTTGTATAATTTTTTTTTTCGTTTTTAAGATTAATCAATAAAGTTGTGACAATTCTACAAAAAAAAAAATCTGTTTGTAATATATGTATATATATTATCACAAGTTTTTATATAAAATTTCCAAATATAAGATGTTTCTCAACTCCCAAGTACATGCTATAATCCAATATAAATGTCCCTAATAAAATTTCTGTTAAAGCTTTTTTATGAATAAATTTTGTGTCTAGAAACAAGTTCAGTTGAACTAATTAATAGAGACATGATTCAATTTGAGTTCACAAAATTAAATGCAGCGGAGAAAATAAGATAAAAAAAAAGAGAAAGAAAATAAGGTAAAGAAGCTTAGAAACCTTTTGATCAGTTAATTATTACATAATTCAAATATTCTTGATTTTTTTGGTAAATAATATTCTTGATTATTGCATGCAAGCCTGATACATAAATTATGAAATGAAACATAAAGAATTGTGAACATCAGACGCATGAATAATACTCACATGAATTATGTCTGTAACCCTTTTGTTCTGCAGATTGATTTCGTTTGTATAAAATTCAATCTAGTTCCTGTGTTTTTTTTCAAGTGTATATTTTCAACGTATAACCACTGCCATTTGATACGTTACGTTACATGTCATTCAGCTTTTGATTTCGCCACTACGTGGCATTTAGCTTCAACGTTATACATGCAATTACTTTTCATCAGCGCGTTGATTTCATTGCTCTCTCTCTCTCTCTCTCTCTCTCTCTCTCTCCTAACTTGTATGTCTTCCGGTGGAAAGAGAGATTCATCTTGAGTTCTTCATCGAAGTAGACGGCGAAGTGACTTTTGATTTGGAGCACGAGATTACTAACGACAACGAGGGTTTCAGAGTATGGTCTGTTTTTTTTTTTAATCCTTAAAAACATTTTGATTTCAACTGTCGAATATGGAATCCATCGAGTTTGTTTATAATAAGGAGATTTTACGTATAAAATACTGATAAGGTGATTCAACTATCTCGCAGAGGAACACATGGAGTCGAAGGAGCTATAATCCATCATCAACGGAAACTTCGAGAATCTCATCATTACCATCGGAGCACAACGTACGGTACAATATGAAAAGGACATAAACTGTAAATATTATATGGACCCTATGACATGATGATCAAAGGCCATTATAGCAGATACCAAAGCTAAAACGCGAAACCCTAGATGATGAGAACAGATTTTATTTTAATATGCTCCTTAGTATAACCGAGACGAGATGAGATCCCTCTCTTGATCACCGATGGAAAGAGAGTGCTCAGCCAAAGCACCGTCCCGAACCACCAGAGGATTCGGAACGTTCTTCGGCCTCCAAACGAGACAGCATGCGACGAAACGCCCTTTCCTTGCAGGGGATGGTCAGGATTTCCATGGGCGGTGGACCATCGGAGCCGTACTTTTCCACCAAAGCTCCGTTCAGGAACAGCAAGAACGAAGGGCGGAAAATGTACGGTATCGGAACGACGAATCTCTTCCTCTCCTCGTGTTCTCCTACAACATACACCGGGAGATGTCCCTTTGGGACATCAAATTCGGAAGATGAGGGTCGGATCCTGTTCCTTGTGGGACGTGTTTGGAAGTTGTGCTTTGCATTGAAGCTGCTGAAGCACCCCTTCAAACCCATCCTTTTTTTTATCAAACAAAAAAAAAGAGCCAAAAGAAGTCGAAGATCAAAGTCCAAGTATAAGCTGAGGATGTGATTTCTTGGAAGTGATTTGTGGGGAATGAAGAGATCGAGAAGTCCCTATTTATAGAGCTGAGCTCGCAAAAGAAAAACTCATAAAGAGGATATTTTACCGATAAAACCCTAATTTCACAAAAGAAAAATACTATATGACGAAATATTTTATCAATAAACCCTAAGGCCGGGAGCAGTTTCTAGAGTCCATCGTCGTCATCAACATGTCTCATAGCTCATAACCTCCCCCCCATATGTGAGGCCAAATTATGTCCGGTCATCTTCTGCCATATGAGAAAAGCCCATGTGAAGTCTAACCATCTTCCTTCATCTTACGTCTTAAAACTTTAAAACTTTGATATTTTTATTTTCTAGGGTTTTTTCTAGGTTATCTAGGGTTATCCTCCCCAAGAGTTATCCTTTCCGGATTCATTTCCTTTTCAAATCACTGGAATGAGTGGTGTTTGCGATGGCTCACGATTGCTGATACTGATTTCGATGGGCTCAAAATAAATTAAAGTGCAAACACTAGTTACTTGATTAATCTGCGTCTTCCCCTTTTTTTAATTTTACAATTTTTCCGGATTTTATTTTGGGTGAGAATCGATCAATAGAGAATTCGAAAGCTTTTTCATTAATGAATCATGACCTAATATACATATTATTTATGTTTATATGATATGGAAACACTTTGTTTGAATAATAGTTACAAATTAATATATATATATATATTAACCAAAAGGTCGAAAACCCTACAATCGTGCATAGATTAGAAAGAAGTTTAAAGGATCCATGGTTTTTTTTAATGTATGATTGGTCTCTCTCTTTCTCTCTCATGTTTCGTTGACGTTTTCTCGAAGTACACATAATCTGCCACTTGATCCCTCCGCCATCGATTTAATCGACTCATGAAAATGTTCTCTTCCGAACAAGAAAAGAAAAATAGTGAAAAAAAAACCCCAAGAAAAACTGATGAGTGGAAAAAAAAAACAAGAAAAATATGAAAATTGATCAAGAACTTAATCTTTCATGAGGAACACAGCCGTGATTATTTTGGAGTTCATCTACGTAGACCGCGACATGGCCTCTTGGAACATGGGATCGTTGTTTTTGGGTTTTGATTTGGACATTGTGCATGTCCAAATCAAATAAAATTTTAGATTACAGATATGACTAAGTATTTGATATAGAATATGTCGCAATAAGTTTTTACAACGTTTAAATACACCATCTATTGACTTCAACTTATTCCAAAATTGTTGCTCAAATGTTTTTTTCTTCTAAAAAGATTATTGTTTCTCTTTGCAATCGAATTTGATTATAAAATTACGGTTATAAAACTACTATATGATCGAAAGATTCAAAACTATATATATATATATATGTATATCTATCTTCATGATTTGGTTCTTCGAATTTGGTGTGTTTACACTCCAACGAAAAACGTGAGATTGTGAAAGATCATAAACATTCAAAATTCATTTGAGGCAAAAAGAAAAATGAATTTCAAAACCTAAATATCTTACAAATAATAACTATACCGAGCTTTGTCACTTGTCTCCCATTGCTCATACTTTAACTCCAACACTCTATTTTTTCTTTGTTAGGGTTTCTCTCTAATTTGAGATCATAGAGTTTTCTTTTGTTGATTCGTTTCCTTTTGTTTACTCAAATCAATTTTTAGATATTAAACTCGATTTTTTTTTGCATCAATCCTCACATCATTCAAAATTTCTACATAGAGTCGAGTCTCCTAACTATTATAAGCATGTTTTTCTCTTTTCAAAAGTTTTTAAAACCGAAATTTCTTTACATAACGAGATCTAAACACGACAAATTGACGCTTTATGAAAAAACGACAAATTAACGTAATAGATCTTAAAATGATAATATGATATAAATCTAAAACGACAAATTAACGCTTTACCAAAAACGACAATTTACCGTGATAGATCTCAAAATGATAATATGATATATATTCATAACGATAAATTAATGTTTTTCGAAAACGACAAATTATAGTATGTTATAGAATTTTATTAAAATGATAAATTATAGTTTTTAGTCCTACAAATTAATATTTATTATATCTACAAACCATCATTTAAATGAGCATTAAAATAAATACCTTTTCATAGGTAAAACAACACAAAATATGAGCTTCAAAGGGAAAAATCACGTGAAATTTTTTCTATTAAAAATTGTCAGCAATGCAGGAGAAATAATAAACTTTTTTAATAGAAGATGTAATTCGAATCGGAAAAAATGATTGAATGCTCTCTATATTATTACAACAGAGAAGTTATGGTAAATACATATTTATGCATATAACCATTATGTTAACAATAAGATAATTTATTTTTTATTTTTAGTATCTTGAAAATTCGTTATCCACTCCCTAAGTCCCTAGAGAAAACAAAGAAAAGCAAACCAAAAGAAGGAATGGATGGTGATCAAATTAAATTGGAACATGTTAAATTTTTAATGAGTCGACATATATTTCATTTAATATTATAAATTTTGTTAATTAAACTTAAAAAAATACTTTATTAATTGGTGATTTAACTTGCACTAATTTTAATTAATCGATACAAATTAATTAATGCACACCAAGTCCGGTTGGTGTTTTTACTTCTTTTGTTTAAAATACACACAAATATATGTCATATTTATTTATAGAGGAAATTCAAAATCGGTCCAATGATAAATATAATTAAAAGCTTTTTATATAAGCAAGTGCATGGGTTTTAACTAATAAAAAAAAAAAAAGCAAGTGCAAGGGATAGGCTTTTTAAATACAATATTGTTTTGGTCTGCTAAAGGCGAGTTTCAGTTGCGCTTTGTATTGGGAAGCGGTCCAATCGACGTATGCACTGCCTCGAAAATTTGATATTGTATTCCTGTAAACAAATATTATATTATTTGCATACGTTTGCATATTAAATATTGAATATAATTCATAATTTATGTATATGAAAAATTGCTATGTATTCGTGTAAACAAATATTTTGTATGCATACGTCGGCATATTAAATATATTCGTATTTATGTATATGGATATATATATTCACTGTATTAAATAATTTGGACCGTATCCAATTTGGATAATTCAACCGGTGAAACACGGACACAAAACATCTGTCCCATTCCGATTTCGAATCTCAGAGTGAAGGAAAAATGTTTACATGGTTTTTCTTCGATCCTGAGATTAATATGGATTTCGATCCATGATATCCGGTTATCAAAAAAAAAATAATTTGGACTGTATGGTATTAATGAGGTATAAAAAGCCAAAAGTAGTTCCTCCCGGTATCATAGAGGAGGAAATGATGGAAGCAATTTTCGGGAACCCAATAAAGGATGAACTTCGTTACAAAATAATCAATTAACGTACGACCTTTTGTGGGCATATTAAATTAAAGGCTTTTAAGTATGTTGCTAATAGGAATCAACATTTCTCTTGGCACTTTTTGAGCATATTTTATATATTTATTTTGGGTTAAATGAGAATTACCACCAGCATTAATTTGCCCAAAACAGAAGCAAATCGTGTTTATCTGTTTTCCAACAAAAAATTATTATTTTTTAAATTATTGTTGTGACATCGGCCTCTATCGAGTGTTGTATAATCGAAATCGACAACAATTGCCTATAACAGCACAATGAAGAAGAGTTGCCAAGCTCTACTCAATGAACATATACATTATATATATATATATATATATATATATATATATATATATAATTCATGTGTACAGAAACTGAATTCTTTACGAATTGAATGGTTAAAGAACTCATGGGATCATCTCTCTTGGATCCAAAACTGAAGAGACTCACTTGCAGTCCCATCCCGAGTTATTAGGAATACAGAAAAAGAAAACCCTAAATAACTAACTATGATGCACCAAATTAAGGGAGTTTAATTCAATGTGAGGTTGCATTAAATCGGTCTCTCCTTATGAACCACTTAGAGCAGAAGCAATTCCTGTGAAGTGATCTTCACTGCAAGGGATCGTGAGGCCTCCCATTGGATGATCGAATCCGTACTCTTCCTCGGCCAGGTTTAACAGATCTTGGAACAAAGGATGGTTCAAATACGATATCGGGACCATGAATCTCTTCTTCTCCCCGTATTTCTCCCCCACGTAAACCCCGACATGACCCTTTGGTACGTTGTTAGTGCCTGAGGTGGCCAAGAGGCTCGCAATTCTCGCCGATAGACTTCTTTGAAGCTTTTGCTTTGCTTGGGATAAACCCATCAATTGAATGCCCATCTTGGAAACAATGCAATGAAAAAGATTAGATTTTGATGAGTTTTAGAGATTCATCCAAGAAATGTTTATATATATATATATATATATATATATATATATATATATATATATATAT